TAAACGATTCCAATGAATGAAAGCAGAAGCAAGCAATAAATTCTAATTCAATCAATGATTATGGAAAGCAATTTAGTATTTAGCTAATTTTGAACAATGCACAGAATTGTTAGAAAAACCAAAGACATTAAAGTAAAACAAAATAAATTTTACAAAGAAAAGATAGTTTGAATAGAAGTAATAATCAGGTACAATTATATTTATTTAGTAATAAATTCCACCAATTTTAAAGGAAAACCTATTATGAATACTTTGGGGGATTTTTGTTTATTTGTTTCAAAAAGCATTTGTTTACCTCAGAATGTTGTCATATCAGAAATTCTGTCACCAAACCAGGCAACTCTTCTATAGCACTTATCAAATTTGTCAGTTTATATTCTGAGCAAACATTTTTTTGTCAGGTAATTGATAGATATTGGAAGAATACTGAGAAAAAGAAATGCAACAACATAGGCATGTATTTATTAATATATGACAGAGCATATATAAAAACATGTATACATTTATATATGACCTAGCATATATGAATATTTATGCTGTGTCACATAGAATATATATTAATATAAGTATACAAATATAAAGATTTATATCCTGATGTGTAGTCAGAAGAGACATTACTTTCCTTCTCAAAAAAATTAAAAAAGAAAAGGAGGTAAGGCAATTCAGATTAGCAGAAGTTGAAAAATTGGCCCATGTTTTGTGAAGAAATACAATGAAGTTTGTCTTTTGTTTTTGTTCTCTTTGGTTTTCGTGAAAGCCTGTGTTGTTGAGGAAACTCATTTTCTCCCCCAGTGGATATTGCTCATGTTTTTCTGTCCCAATTATTTGGACTAAGAAGACTAAGTTAAGGTGGTTGGGGGCAAGTTGACTGGGGGCAAGTGATAAAATAAAATTTAAAAAGTGCTAATAAAACGGATCATAAGAATTGGGGAAGACTTAAACATGATTTTTAAAAAAGCTGATATATCTTGAATTCATAATGTTCTGGACCACTGAAACAACATATCAGAGTGTTTTGAAGTTTGAATAGTTAGATAAATAGGTTGCATGTACTAATTCCAAATAATCTTTTTTTTTTAATTTAAATTCAATTGGCCAACATTTAGTACATCATTAATTTCAGATGTAGAGTTCAGTATAATTCAAATAATCTTAAAATAGATCATAAATGACATATATTTCTAGTCTTTGTAGATTGTGGATGGAATATTTATATAATAAAATTGTTCCCTACTTATGTTACTAAATTTTTTTATATGCACCAAAGATAATTTTTTAAGATCTTTAAGTGACTTCAGAAAAATACTATCTTACTTAAGTTTCCAGTGATTTGTATATAAATTAAACCCTAATCTTATCTGTTTTTGTGTCTTTAATTGTTTTTATTATTTTACATTATTATTACAGTGATGTTATAGCAACTTCGAACACTTTAGAAAATACAATAAAGCAATGTGTTAATTTACTCTCCCACCAGTATTGAATGAGAAGTATGACTAATTTTTTTGTGTTAGGCAAAATATGATGCATCATTGTTTTATTTGGATATCTTTATTTCTGTGAATTTGAACATTGCTTCAAAAACTCATTGACCATTTTATTCTATTTTGGGTACTGACTGTTCATATTCTTTGTGCCTTTTTTTTCTGTTGGGATATTTTTCTTTATCTGATTGCTTAGAGCTGTTTATAAACTAAGACTCTTAACCCTTTGTCAAACATATATATGTTCACAGACACTTTCCTTTTGTTCTTTATTTTTAAGTTGTGTGTAGGTATGTTTATTTGGGGGGGGATGTATAGAACATTTTATTTTTATATAATTAAATTTATCAGCCTTTTCTTTTATGGTTTTCATGCTTAAAAAGACCATCCTGGAACATATAAATATTCATCCAGATTTTGGTGCCTTCATGATTTCTTGGTTCCAGAATCTATTTTCATGAAAACTATAAGGATATCCAAGTTATTTTTTTTCAAATATGTGGCCATAAGTTATTCCAGTACCAGTTATGAAATAATCCCCTTCTCTGTGACTGTGAAATATAAACTTTATTATGTACTAAATTCCTACTATACTTAGATCTGTTTATAGAATTTATATTTTTGTGCATTGACTAAACTTCTTTCTTTCTGAAACTCATTTTTTCATTACTGTATCTTTTTTTAAATTAAATTCCATTAGCCAACACATAGTACATCATTAGTTTCAGATGTAGAGTTCAGTAATTCATCAGTTGCATATAACACCCAGTGCTCATCACATCACATGCCCTCCTTAATGCCTGTTACCAAGTGACCCCACCTACCTCCCCTCTCACAACCCTCAGTTTGCTTCCTGTAGTTGTAATCTCTCATGGTTTGCTCCCTTTCTGATTTCTTCCCATTCAATTTTCCCTCCCTTCCCCTGTGATCCTCTGCACTACTTCTTATATTCCACATATTAGTGAAACCATGTGATAATTGTCTTTCTCTGATTGACTTATTTCACTTAGCATAATACACTCTAGTTCCATCCATGTTGTTGCAAATGGCAAGATTTCATTTTTTGATGGCTGAGTAATATTCCATTGTATATATTCCATATATATATTGTATATGACTGATATGTCATTTTCAAATGTCTCCTTCTCTACTCTATGGTCAACTAATCTTCAACAAAGCAGGAAAGAATATCCAATGAAAAAAAGACAGTCCCCTCATCAAATGGTGTTGGAAAATTGGACAGCCACATGTAGAAGAATGAAATTGGACCACTTTCTTACACCATACACAAAAATAAACTCAAAATGGATGAAAGACCTAAATGTGAGACAGAAATCCATCAAAATACTGGAGGAGAACATAGACAGCAACCTCTTTGACCTCAGCCTCAGCAACTTCTTGCTAGACAAGTTTCCACAGGCAAGGGAAACAAAAGCAAAAATGAACTATTGGGATTTCATCAAGATAAAAAGCTTTTGCACAGCAAAGGAAACAATTGACAAAACCAAAAGACAACCTACAGAATGGGAGAAGATATTTGCAGTTGACATATCAGATAAAGGGCTAGTATCCAGAATCTATAAAGAACTTACTAAATTCAACACCCCAAAACCAAATTATCCAGTCAAGAAATGGGCAGAAGACATGAACAGACATTTCTCCAAAGAAGACATACAAATGGCCAACAGACACATGAAAAAATGCTCCACATCACCTGACATCAGGGAAATACAAATCAAAACCACAATGAGATACCACCTCACACCAGTCAGAATGGCTAAAATTAACAAGTCAGGAAACAACAAATGTTGGCAAGGATACAGAGAAAGGGGAACCCTCTTACATGTTGGTGGGAATGCAAGCTGGTGCAACCACTCTGGAAAACAGTATGGAGGTTCCTCAAGAAGTTAAAAATAGAACTACCCTACAACCCAGGAATTGCACTACTAGCTATTTACCCAAAGGATACAAATATAGTGATCCAGAGGGGCACCTGCACCCTAATGTTTATAGCAGCAGTGTCCACAATAGCCAAACTATGGAAAGAGCCCAGATGTTCATCAACAGATGAATGGATAAAGAAGATGTGGTACATATATACAATGGAATATTACTCAGCCATCAAAACATGAAGTCTTGCCATTTGCAACAACATGGATGGAACTAGAGGGTATTATGCTAAGTGAAATAAGTCAATCAGAGAAAGACAATTATCATATCATTTCACTCATATATGGAAATTAAGAAACAAAACAGAGGATCATACGGGAAGGGAGGGAAAAAAATAAGATGGGTCAGAGAAGGAGACAAACCATGAGAGACTCTTAACTATAGGAAACAAACTGAGGGTTGTGGGAGGGGTGGTGGGTGAGGGGGTAACTGGGTGATGGGCATTAAGGAGGGCATGTGGGATGTGATGAGCACTGGGTGTTATATGCAACAGATGAATTACTGAACTCTACCTCTGAAACTAATGATGCACTATATGTTAATTAACTGAATTTAAATATAATAAAATAAAATAAAAATTTTTAAGTATCCTTAAAATCTCTTGTTTCTTTCATAGTATATTACAAAATTGATACTTGCTATTCTTCACCTTTATTCAGAACTAGTAGCAATTTCTGTATTGTGATTAGTCTGGACAAGTTCTAGAAATATTATCAATAAAAAGTAACTTGATAGTTTTGCTCTCTAAACATTTCCATTTTTATGAGTTCCTTCCTCATTTATTTATTTAAAATTATTTTTTCCTATTTTAATGCTTAGTTTGTTTTCCTTCTTTTTTATTTTAGATCAGGCATTTTATGGGACTATGATTTTTCCTCTGAGTACAGTTGGATCCCATCCCATATTTTTAATCTATTGTTTTAATGTTCTTTTTGTACATTTATATTTTTAACTTCTTCTTTAATCCAAGAATTACTTTACAAGAATGCTTATAATTTTTAAGTATTTATATTTCTCATATCTTTTTTAAAATTGAGTTCTAGATTATTACAGAGAATGTGGTCTGTAATTTGTTTGTAAACCTGTAATTATTTGATCATTTCAGCAAGAAACCTGAAAAAAATGGGAGTCAAATGTAATAGATGTAGAGGGCATCATATCAGGCATGAATATTCTCTTTTATCTTTCTTACATTAAAATATCTTAAAATAAGCTTAGTGTTTACATAAGATAGCAGATAAACTATTATTCTCTTTTATCTGTTTACTGAGGGTAGCTTCAATTTAAGTGTCTTTATGCTCAACCTGAGTTACAATTTGTCTCAACTCAGTATGCCTACTTTCATAAACTGTTAAGGATTTTTACTTTTCCATAGGAAGCTCATTTTTCTGCTCTCTAATATGAACATATTATTTATGTTATTACTCATTTATGTAACATAATTATTTAAAGTATTACTTTTGTTTGCTATAATTTGAGTTTATTTTCAATATTAAAAATTTTTATATGCCTAAATTCCCACTCTTAAGAATATTCTGTTTTGTTTGTTTCATTGTTATTTTGCAGAACATGGTTGGAGAGTGGGCCTTACCAGAAGAAATGGTAGAAAATTTACCACCCTCCAACAATAGCATATTGGGTCACGTGATTCACAGATTAGTTGAAAAATCTCATCCTCCTCAAGTCAAATCAACAGTATCAGAATTACCTTCATTTGCTATTAAAGGGTGCTTACTGGGGAAAACATTTAGTGGAAAAACCACTGCTCTAAAGGCTCTACAAAAAGGTAGAATTTCTTCCCTTTTTTCCACTTATTGGATTCTATTTGCATTGACTGTAGTTGCAAATGACTATGTCTGTAGACAACATACATAAGAATCTACTGATATATTGGGAAACTCTGTCATCAAAAATTTTATAATACAGTGATCATATAATTACTTGTCCAAGGCAGACACTTTTAGGATTTAAGAGTCATAAACTGGCACTGTCCCAAGCAAACCTGGATATATGAATATGCTATATAATGGTGTGCATAGTCTTGAGAAATAACAAGTTATAAACTTTCCTCATAGATTTTATTTACCTACCAATGAAGGGGGAAATTAATAATTTATAACAAATACAAAAGAAATCCACTTAAAATTATGAACGTATTAATTCTTCACATCCATTGAGTTCTGTCTTTTTATGAACCTTTGGCTTTTTCTTTTGAAGCTCATTCACTTAGAAGCCCAGGTTTCCATCTGTTTAATTAGTTTTTATTCAGTTATACTTATTTTTTACTGTTTTCACTGGAAAACACAATTTGTAGAGACTAGTCCATTTTAAACTATTCCAAGACAGACAAGGGTAGATCATTATTGAGATGTTAAAAGGACCTCCTTGAAAAGCAGCTTGACAAAGGCACAATGAGGTACCACTCCACACCCACTAGGATAAGTATAAATAAAAAAAAGGAAAATAACAAGTGTTGGTGAGGAAGTGTTGGTTGGAACCCTCATACATATGTTGCTGGTGGGAATGTAAAATGGTGTCACCACTATGGAAAGCAGTTTGGTGGTTCCTCAGTAAATTAAACAAAGATGGCCCCAACAATTCCATTAGGGGATATATACCCTCAAAGGAGTGAAAACAGGTGTTCAAAAGAAATCTTGTGCAGGAATATTCATAGCAGCACTATTAATAGTAGCCAAAATGTGGGGACAAAATCTAAATGCCTGTCATCTGATGAATGGATAATAAAAGTGGTATTAATCTATATAATGAAATATTACTCAGCCATAAAAAAGGAGTGAGGTACTGATCTGAGCTGCAACGTGGATGAACCTTGAAAACACAATGCTGAATGAAAGAAATGAGACACGAAAAGCCACATATTGTATGATTCCATTTATATGAAATGTCCAGAATAGGCAAATCCATAGAAACAGAAGACAACTTAGTGGTTATAGGGACAGGGATAGAGAGATAAGGAGTGAATGCTTAGTGGGTACAGGGTTTTCTCTTTTGGTGATGAAAATTTTTTGGAACAAGATAGTGCTGATGGTTGGACAACATGAATCACGTAAATACCACTGAGGTGTATTATTTACAATGGTTAAAATGGTTAGATTTATGTTATGTGAATTTTACTACAATAAAAAAAAAATAAGTGGCTTGATCCAAAAGACAGTTGTAGAAGGCCCTAGAGACAGTGTTATTGGATGAAGCCAGCACAGAAGGATAATTATGTCAATTTCCTAAATGAAAAGATATTAATAAAATTGTCTTTTGCACTTTAGACTTTCCTATTCAGATACTTTCTATTGACACTCTTGTCCAAGAAGCTATCAAAGCATTTCATGACAATGAAAAAATCAGTGAGGCTCTACCAATTGAGAAAGAAGCTGAAGAAAAGACTCCACCAGTTCTGCAAGAGAAGAGCAAAGAAATCCAGGCAAGTGTGACTTTAGTTTTCTTTTCTGCTCCTCATAGTCTAGAAATTTGAAGCTGGATAGAATCTAAGAGATCTTCTAGACCAGAGGTTAGCAACATTTTCTGTAAAGGCCCAGAGAGAAAATATTTTAGATTTTGTGGACCAAGAGGCAAAATCAAGGTTACTATGTGTGTATTTATAATAACAAGAAAGAAAATTCCTCCCTGCCGTCCCCTAGTTTGCCTGGTGGGTCATCCAGGGTGGTTGGCCCACTTCGTGCCCAGTTACCATCAGCTGGAGACAGTCTCCTAAAGAAAGAGCCACAGGCTGGTAGGACTGGTAAGGGGGTGAAGGGGCTGAATTGCAAGGGATTGGAGGAGGGTGGGGTATGAGTGTTGGAGGGGGGACTTCACCAAGTCATTAGCTCCTGGAGTGATATTTCATCACTGAGACCCTGGCAGTGGCCAATGGCAGAGTATCCGTTGCATAGTTAAAGACCAGTGCCGGCTTTGGACAGTGGCTGAGGCAGATGCTGGAGCAGAGCAGAGAAGGGGCAGAGGGGGATGCCAAGCTTGGTCCCCTGGCTCACAGTGCTATTCCGCAGAGGGATGCCCAGGGACCATATAAAAAAACAGTTGGATGGCTGAATGTGATCTGCGAGGAGAGGGGTGGTGGAGAAGGGAGAGGTCTTCCTTGTGGTTTACCTGTGTCACATTCCCATCAATATTGCATCTTGCTACATTATTGCATGAAGATCCTAAGGCAGAAAATATGAAAATGTGGCCCCACCTTGAGAATCATGATGCGGTCCAGCACCATTTTAAAACGGAGACAGTAGAGGTCCTCAGTATGAATTGGTTTGCTCGGGGTCAGAAGGCTTGTTGATGAGTGTTTTGAGTGGAAACCCAGATTCTAAATCCAGCATTCTTTCTCCTGCTTTATGTTGTCTCTGCAATTGAATAAATTAGCAGAGAATCTAATCCAGATGATTTGCATGGGCTGCAAGATAAATACCATTTAACTACAAATTATGAAAATAACTGGGAGAAGGGGCACCTGGGTGGCTCAGTCGCTCAGTTGGTTAAGCATCTTCCTTCGGCTCAGGTCATGATCCCAGGGTCCTGGGATCGAGCCCCACATGGGGCTCCCTGTTCAGTGGAGAGTCTGCTTCTCCCTCTCCCTCTGCTGTTCCCCCTGCTTGTGTGGGCTCTCCCTTTCTCTCTCCTTGTCCAATAAGTAAATAAAATCTTAAAAAAAAAGAATAACTGGGAGAAGTGTGGACTGCCTCTCATTCTGTATTTCAATCAATTGGATGATAGATCATGTACATGTTTTTTCTTTATTCCCTTATGGCTATGACTGACACCTCCAGGATTGTTCTTTCTAAAATGGTTTTCCATAAAATCTACCTCTTTCTCAGGTTTCACTGTATTTTAAAAATAGCAGTTGCTGTATTTTACATAGAATTAAAGGTCATTTGAAAGACAGAGTACACCATAGGTTACTATTTCTGTAAGAATAGTCATCAAATTTTACTTGTTTTCAGAAATCATTCAGTTCTTCTTAATACCAACGTTATTGATAAGATAGTGTAAACCTTACTTGTAGAAATAAAATGTTAAATATTATTGAAATATAACAATGTTACAATTCCTGTATGTGTGTGTGTGTGTGTGTTTTCTCCCCAAAGGATCTGCAGAATGTGTCTTCACCTTATCCAGCTTCAGAGGAAGCATTGCCAGAAACAGAAGATAAAACTATACTTAGTAAGTGAGATGTCAAAACAAATCACCCATTATTTACATTACATTAGATAGGCGGACAGATAAATAGTTAGTACAGGTGTATGTGAGCACAAACTTGCTTTCAGGGAAAGAAGGGGGAGTTTTACATAGTTGTCTACCTGGCCATTTAACAGAGAGAGCAAGATAAACACAGAAGTCCCTAACCTTTGTCTACGGCTAGGGATAAGAGATGAATATTAAGAAGGAATCTTTCTACACTCCTTCAAGCAGTTGCTCAGTTTTGTTGTGCTTATGGTAACAGTCAGGAGAAATCCTCCCTCTTCCTGGCTTTGCAGGGAGACGGTATTTTATTGTTTCTTCTTGCCTGTGCGGATGTGGGTGAGTGGTACTGTTGGGGCTCCCCGCGTGCTGCTGTGCTGTTCACTGTGTTGAGGGAGGCTGCAGGGTCTGGTCTCTTGCACCCACCTGAAGGGTGGTTCCCTAGATAAAGTTAAGTTTATTCCCAGCCTTGAGCAAGGCACATAAATAGAACCAAATCCTCCAAAGCTAATGAAAAGTTATCTCACTTGGGATCTGGGTTCTAGTCTTTCAGATGCTTTTTAGAAACAGTGAAGGAAAACAATGTTAAATCTTAAATGTCTTTTCTAGCTATGCCAGTGAAGGCTTGCCGTATTTAATAGTGTCCTCATATTCTAGCATAAAGTTCAGATCCCCCTGTGCCAACGTCATTATCACCATCACCCCTGAACAGTGTGGTGAGCATGAGGGTCTCCTAGAGCAGCTGAGTTTTCCATCTTGTAAAAGGGCATAATCTGTCCCTTATTTTAGTTATGTGTTTCACACAAGATAATTTTAATTGACTTCTAAACAGTTTTAAGTATTGTATGACATATTTTATTACAGAAGTCCAGTTAATTATAAATGGACTCTGAAAACTTGCTTTTTTCTGAAGATTTTAATGAACAACCCTTCTGATTTCTAGAATTTTCTACTTTTACACATGTTTATTACCTATAACTTGATAATTTAGGAAAATAAAAATTAATGAATTAACATTTCAACAGATTTTCTTGAGAAACTTGGCTAGTTTTCTGAAAAGAAAACCTAAACTGTATTTAAGTACTTCTAATGATACTATTATCGGTGAGCCATAATGGAATGAAGGAAGTAGAAAACGCCAAGCCACATAATGGCTGGATTTTAATGTGGTGGAGGAAAGGTGAAGCCGTGCTGTGGTGATCCTTCCTCTGAGCATCTCAGGCATGGCTGGACCCAATAACCCATCTGTCCAAAGCCATAGGTGATCAAATATTAATATGGTTTTAGTGGTAAATACTGGAGTTTGTTTTTACCACTTTTTCTGTTAATAGGTACCGATACAAATAAAATTATAAACGTTGAAGAAGTCAAATCAAGTGATAGTTTCTCTGAAGTAAGTACTAACCTGATTTTGGCTACTAGTATATTAAAATAGGTCATGATTCATAGTTTCTTGATATGTCTTCAAAAGGAATGAAACAGCAATGTGCCTCTCTTTGTTTTAAAGTAAATGTGATGTTGGGGCACCTGGGTGGCTCAGTCGGTTAAATGTCCAAGTCTTGATCCCAGGGTCATGAGTTCAAGCCCCACGTTGGGCTCCACGCTGGGCTTGGAGCCTACTTAAAGTAAATATGATGGTAAAATATTAGCTAAATCTAAGTTACTTAATTTTCTTTAAATTCTTTATCTCTAAAGTGGTGGAAATTGCTATTCAGTTTTGCCAGAACTTAATTTTCTTTAAATTCTTTATCTCTAAAGTGGTGGAAATTGCTATTCATATAAGGTATATACGTGCTTTTTTAAAATTTTAGTCTTATGTCAAGTTTATATTTATGTATTTTTCTTTACCACTTAATTTATTACTTTTATTTCCTTTCCTACTCTCTTTACCTTTAAATAATTTTTTTTCCAGAATTTCTCCTTAGACTTAGTGGTGACTCTACAGAATTTTGTAGTAACCCCTGAAAGAAATATTTATATTTCACTGACTATTACTTCTAATGGAAGCTAACATTTCTTCATATAGTATTGCTTTTCTGCATATGGAGATATCTTTTTGTCATCAAATAGAATGTCCAGATTAATCAAGTGAGATTTTATTTGCTTTATTTTTATTACATTTAATTACTTTTATTATGCATTTCGCCTTGGAAAAAATTTTATTTTTTTTTTTAATTTTTATTTTTTAGGGGGGACAGGGGCAGAGGGAGAAGGAGAAGGAGAATTTTTTTTTCTACTAACATCTTTTTTTAAAATTTTTTATTTAAATTCAATTTAATTAACATATACTGTATTATTAGTTTCAGAGGTAGAATTTAGTGATTCATCAGGTGCATACAGCACCCAGTGCTCATTACTTCAAGTGCCCTCATTTAAAAAAAAAAAAAAGATTTTATTTATTTATTTGTCAGAGAGAGAGAGAGCACATAAGGAGGGGGAGTGGCAGGCAGAGGGAGAAGCAGGCTCCCCGCTGAGCAGGGAGCCTGATGCAGGACTCGATCCCAGGACCCTGGGATCATGACCTGAGCCTAAGGCAGATGCTTAACCAACCGAGCCACCCAGGTGTCCCATCAAGTGCTCTCCTTAATGCCCATTATCCAGTTACCCCATCCCCTCACCCAATCCCCTCCAGCAACCCTCAGTTTGTTTCCTATAGTTAAGAGTCTTTTATGGTTTGCCTCCCTCTCTGTTCTCATCTTATTTTATTTTTCCTTCCTTTCCCCTATGTTCATCTGTTTTGTTTCTTTAATTTCACATATGAGTGAAATCATGTTGTATTTGTCTTTCTCTTGCTGACTTATTTCACTTAGCATAATACCCTCTTTATACCACTTCTTCTTTATCCATTCATCTGTTGATGGACATCTGGTTTCTTTCCATATCCTGGCTATTGTGGACATTGCTGCTCTTAACATTGGGGTGCATGTGCCCCTTTGAATCACTATGTTTGTATCCTTTGGATAAATACCTAGTAGTGTAATTGCTGGGTCATAGGGTATTTCTATTTTTAACTTTTTGAGGAACCTCCATACTGTTTTCCTAGTGGCTGCACCAATTTGCATTCCCACCAACAGTGTAAGAGCATTCCTGTTGGGAGAGAGGGAATCTTAAGCAGGCTCCATGCCCAGCAGAGACCTGAACTCGGGGCTTAATCTTACGACCCTGAGATCATGACCTGAGCTGAAATCAAGAGTCGGATGCTTAACTGACTGAGCCACGCAGGTGCCCTTAGAAAACAATTTTAGATTTCAAATATTTTAGATTTCAGAACTACTTAAAGACAGAAAATGTTTTGGAAGGATATACACCAAACTATAAATATGATAGCCAATGGGGAGGGAAATGGGCTTAGAGATGGTGATAAAGGGGAATTTATAATTTTTATTCCATATATTTGAAATATAAATTAACAGAAAGACTAAGTGTATTTTTATATTTGTCTTTATTGAGTTACAAATCCTCCAAATTCCATATTCACTTCAAGGGCACACTTTTTTTGTGTGTGTGTGCACTGTTGTAATTATTTGGAATATATCAGTGAACAGAAATGACAGGATTGCTGGACCTTAAGGAATTTACACTCAAATATAGAGAGACAGATAACAAACCATAAACACAGTAAATGAATTATATGACCCATTAGATGGTAATGAACCAGGAGGAAAGAAAATGCAGAGTGGAGTAAGGGGTAAGAAGCACAGGCTAAGGCCAAGGAGGTGGGGAAAGAGGGAAGGTTACTGTATTAAATGGAGTAGTCCTCCTTGAGAAAGAGAGGTTTAACCAGATTGAAAGAAGATTGAGAGAACCTGCCAAGTACATCTGGGGCAGCATTTCAGGCAGTAAGAATAGCTGGATGGCAGCCATGAGGCAGGAAGATGCCTGGCCAGCAAGGTGGGATAATAGTAAGGCATGAGGTTAGAGAGATGAGCAGGAAGGGAGAAAGATCAGGTCAGCCCTATAGGCATGATTAGGACATTTAAAGTAAACAAGGAAACATTACAGGGTTTTGAGTAGAGATCTAATATCATTTAATTTACAAAATACTCACTGGTGGCTGATTTAAGAATAAGCTCTAGGGAATTTCCTGTTGATAGAGCAGCTTTCTTGGACTAGCCTTTCTTCAGATAACATAAATGCTGGACAAGATAGAAAAGCGAATTATTTGAAGGCCAAAAGCAGACCATAAAAAACAAAGCAGCAGACAGACAAGCAGCACCAACCAGCAGAAATTGTATGAAATTGGATCATTGAATGAAGGGAACTTACCTGGCTGGGCAAGAGCCATGCTCGTACAGGTTATCCCAGAGACACATCATGTCTGCGCAGCATGAGAGTGACTAGAACTCAATCAGAAATCTTCAATAGCTTCGATTGAAAGTATTAGGAAATGAAGGTTGGGGATGTCAGAGCAGCTGAAAATTGAGAGGAAGATCTTGGAAAGGAGAGAGCCACAACAGAGGAGCCTCAAAATCTGCATACAGATTTCCCCTAAATGCTTGGCTGCCTCCAGAATTGCGTCAGATGATCAGTGTCTTTACCAGAGAACATGCCCATTTAATTTTTCCCCCCCAGGTATCAGATTCTGACTTTTAAATTAGCTGCACTCTACCATTCATTGTTTATTTTCACAGCTGACTGTGCGTGCTCGGCTTGGTGCAAAATCAGAAAAGTTGCTGAAGAAAGGAAAGAGTATTTCTGACATGTTGCTAGTTAACATCTTGGTAAATGCTATTAAGTATGTATTTTTTAATCTACTAATATATTCTTTATCAGATAGAAGTATATAAAGAATTATATAGAAATGTTTTTTTAATGTCTAATAAATACTACTTGTCTACATAAGAAAACATACAGCAAGATGAAGATATGTTTCGTGATATACATTCGTATATTTCACTTCCCCCACTTTACCAGCCTTGACTTCACTCATGCAGATGTGAGTATAGGTCAGGTTCTATTCCCTGCGGGGAATTCAGGGAAAAGTTAGATTCTTGGAAAAGCCAAGGGACACGTTATAGAGCAGAGACATCCTAACTGTGTGGTCACAGTCCAGTGCCCTTCCTTGTTTTATGTTTCAGGAGGAGGAATCCAAAGGCTGGTCAGTGCTGGATAGGAAGGCAATGAGAAAGGAGAGGTTACACAGGCGAGAAGGAGATTCTATTGTTTAATATGAGTTCTAACAGAAAGAAATTAAGTCATAACTTTTAATCGAAAAATCAGAATCTCAATTTTACACAATTAGGGATTTAGAAGAGCCGAGTTGAAGTTTCTTCCCTTTTCATATTGTTTTTCAATTTAAAGACCTCAAATAATAATTTTGGAGCTCTTATTCTCTATGGAGGATGCTGCCCTGAAAGCAAAACCCCAAGAAATGCTTCTAATGCTCCAGCAACTTATAATCTAATTGAGATAAGGAAGACTCATTTGAATTTTTCTCATTCAGGAACTACAATAATTATTAATTTTATAGCAAAGTGAATGAGAGCCAGAGGAGTTCAGATTAGGCAGTTATGGCTCCAGGCTGGATTGGGGGGAATAAGAGGAACTCTCCAGGTTGGCAATGTGAGTATCTACTGTGTGCTAAGCTTGGTGCTGGGTTTTTAAAATGAATCATTTCAGTTTATCCTTATAACCGCCCTGTGAGGTATGTTATCCTACGATGTGTAGATGAGAAATGGTTCAAAGGAGGAACTGCCTATGAACACAGGCTAGAAAATGCAACACATACTCACCTAACAGTGAGGAGATCAGTTTGTTTGAAGTAAATAGTTCAAGACTGGGAAAGACAAGATATTATAGGGAAGTAAGTTGTGGCCAGTTAGTTTTAAATACCATGTTATGGCCTCTGGAATAGATTTGGAGGGCAGCAGGGACCTACAGAAAGATTTTAAGCAAAGGAGTGATTGTGGTACATTAATAGGCCTAATTTTAGCTGTAGAGTAATAACATTTGTGTGGAAGGAGCTTACTGTGGAGTTAAAGGAAAGGTAAAGGCAAGATTCATTGTATTGTTGCTTCCAAAGTACTTGTATTTATCAAAATGTTCATGGTGTGTCCATTTTCAACTTAGTGAGATACCTGTGGATCAAGGATGGGTCTTGGATGGTTTTCCAATGACGTTAAACCAAGCAAAGCTTTTGGAGGAAGCTCTCACAGGCTGCAGCAGAGAGGTTCTAGAACTGGAGGAAAAGAGAGCACAAATATCCACGTTGGCTATTGATCCTACAACCTCCAAAGAAGTGCCTCCTCTGCCTTCTGCATTTGATTTTGTCATGTTATTAGATATTTCTGATAATTCCTTGCTGGATCGCATGAATGACACAATGAGTAAGCTGGACACTTTTCCCTTTGTTTTGATATTCTTTTTTATAATTCAAAGCTCTTTGTTCATTCCTTCTTTGACGGAATCAGTGAATACTCCCATTTACAATTAGAAGTGGTAATAAGGAATCCATTTCAGATTTCCAAAGAATTATCTAGCAGAGCACATTTGCCTCTTGCTTTAACTGTTGGTGTTCAGCACTGCAGAGAACTAGCAGAGAATTCTATGCTGACTGCATGCATCTCACTGAACCCTTCCCTCAACTTGGCAGCTCCCCTGGCACAGGGGCACCCTTTTTGAGATTTGCATGCATGGAGGAGCTTCTTGGGGCTGTCTAGTACATTGTGGTGGGTCACCATTATGAAGGTCATAAATCACATCTCTTCTGCAAGCAGGGATCTGATAACATCCTTCCCTGAGATTGTGTGTGAAGTCAGAGGAACAAGTATCAGTTGACTGAAGTCCTCACGTGGTGGAGTTGAATAGTCCTTCCAACACTCATGGTTTATTTAATTACTTTTTGCCATTGAAATGAAAGTATTACTTTATTCCTCAAATTAAATACTTATGAGAAACTTGAGTTTCACAATCTATAATTGTATTGTTATAGGTATTAAAGTAGAACTTTCTTTACTCATAACACTTCTGACAGCAAATGTGTGTGTTTCCTACCCCACCCAATTCTCCAGTTCTTGGGAGGGACCAACTGGGTGTTCTACAATTTAATTCAGTTCTGGCACTAACTACTGGGAGTTAGGGCAGACTCCATAGGTTAAGGGCTCAGCCCCACAAGACTGCCCCCAACTTTAGATGCCAGTTTCAAGTAGTAGATTCCTACATTACCCACATTTCTGTCTGACTTGGCTACAAATTGGGGGTTTCCATGACCCTTCCTCAGGTTTGAATTTTCTATAATGTCTCATAGAACTCATAGAAAGAACACTTACTATCACTGGTTTGTTATAAAGGCTATCCTAAAGGATTCAAATGAACAGCCAGATGAAGAAAAATACAGTGCTAGGGTCTGGAAGAGTCTCAAGCTTAGGAGCTTTGGTCCCCGTAGAGTTTGGGTTACACTACCCTCCTGGCATATGGATGTGTTCACCATCCCAGAAGTTCTCTAAAGCCCTTGGTTTAGAGCTTTTATGGAGGTTCTAAAAAGCATGATTGATTAAATCATTGGCCACTGGTGATTAACTCAGCCCTCAGCCCCTCACCCCTCCCAAGAAGTCTGGGGTCAAGGCTGAAAGTTCCAGCCTTCTAATCACATGGTTGGTTCCTCTGGCAACCAGGTCTCATCTTCCAAGAGTCATCCCACTAGCATTAACTCAGATAAGGTGAAAGGGGCTTATTATGAATAAGAAAAAATGCTCCTCACACCTATCACTCAGGAAATTATAAGCTCTTTGTCAGGAGCCAGAGAAAAAGACCAAGTATGTATTTCTTATTATATCACAATATCACCAGATATTAAATGAGATTAATGTAAAACACTTAGGATAGAATCTGGCACAGGATAGCAAATACATCAGGAAGAATTATAGAAGACTTTGAAATGAACAAGAGATTATTAGATATCCTTTCAGTAGAATGTTGAGTATAGTCTTTTTGACACTTTGGACTATCTGCATCTATAGAAGTCTGTGCCTTTCATTGGCTCTGACCTTTACTATAACAGTAAATTGTAAGAAACTAATGGCAATTCAAATGATTCTTGTGCATAGACAAGCAGATGAATTTTTAATCAATATATATTAATTTCTAAACTTTTGAAGAGATTTCAAGTATTAGATTGCTCTATACAGAATGACCAGTTTTTCAACTATTAACATCTATTCTAGCATTCCTGACTGTAGATATGACTGTTACTCAGGTTCTCATTTGAACTGGTTGTAACATTTTACTAGTCCCTCATTAACTGGAGAGTTAAATAATGCCATTTTGCCTTTGTTTGAGAGTTTTGATTTTACCTTTTTAAAAAATCAGTCTTTAACAAATGGCAATCCTTATCATTCTTTTATTACTGCTGTTGTTACTAATACAATGAATTCAGAGCTAGGAGAGACCTAGGGAATCATCTATTTCAGCGCTTTTATTTATAGATGGGAATTCAAAGCATGAACACCTGACTTGTCCAAAGTCACACTCATCCTTATTTTGAGTTTCTGTAATTTTGAGGTCTACTGTTTACTTAAATGAAATGACAAAACCATTAGATACTACTTTAGCTGGTGAGCCCAGTAGTGTAAACTGGATGCTGTCTACCAGATCTTAAAAGAGAGAACTTACTTCTAGCCATACAAGGGAGTAGGAGCCATGCTGAGTGCAGTGATGATTCTGCTTCTCTAGCCAACTTGCCCTTCCTGTTCAGGACATAGCTGAGAATTGGCTGAGAACACTGCCAGTCCATGGCCCACTGGTGATAGAACCGGACCCCGAACTCAAGATCAATCTGACTTGAAAAGGGATATGTCAAGTTGTTACAAAGGGCACACAGAGACCTGTGGAGAAGAGGGTTCCTGGAAGCTGATTATAACCCTACAAGGGCCTCAGAAGGTTTGCCTACCCTCTCCGGGCTCGGAGGAAGCTTACTGTTGTATGTTTCAGAAACAGGAGGAAATCAATTGGCAACAATTTTTCAAGAAGTCCAGCTCAATCCACCTTGAGTTCTTTCAATTCCCTATCGAAATTACGTGACAAGTGATTCTGGCAGATTTGTCAAAGCTGATGTTAACATCTAAATTGTTTAATTTCTTAATTCTTGACCTTTGACTTATAATTAGGCTTAAAAATTCCCTTTCTCCACTACTACAGGGTGAACTTCTCCTTTGTCAGATTTTATGCACATATACACTTAATCTTATTTATCCACCCTCAGAAATTAGTATTAAAGCACAATGTGATTTTTCTTTTTACCATATGTTTCTAACATTGCATATTTCTTGGTCTGAAGTGAACTGAGCCAGCTGTTGGATTGGGGCTACCTAAACCATGAAAACTAGGATGAAATCATTAATTTTGTAGTTCTTACTTATTTTGATCAGAAGTGAGCATGCTAAATATAGCCACAACTTTGAAAATCAATCTGCAGTTTTCATACTAAAGTATTTTAAATGAAGAAAGAGTGTTATTCTTTCACATCTTAAGATTTTTCTTAAAAAAAGATTTTTCTTTCTTAGAATATTAAGAGGCCCATAAAGCCCATTGAATGGCCTTTGAAATATCATTTTGCCAATTTACTCTCCTCATGTTAAGCAAGACCCCATTTAAACTATTTTAGATAAGACTCTACCCTTCTATAATATTTTGTTCATTCATATATTCATTTGTTATTTATAGCATGCTTGCAGTGTGCCAGACATTGTGCTATGCACTGCATATAGAGCAATAAAGAAGAAATGGATTCTCTCTTCAAAGAATTTAGTGGAAATTGTAGCTAAGGAACCAAGAGGTTGCAGTATAGAATTGTGTGCCCAACATGGCAGCCACCAGCCACACATGCTTTTTAAACCAATTAAAATTAATAAACTAAAAATTCAGCTCCTCGGTCACACAGGCCACGTTTTATGTTCACACATGGCTAGTAGCTACCGTATCATACAGCCCTGGTGTAGAATGTTGCCATCATCTCAGAAAGTTCTATTGGATAGCCCTGGTCTAGAGTGAAGGGAGCTAAAATGGTGCCACTAGTAAACATTTATCTAAGATTTATAATTTGCCAGGAACTGATAATACACAAATGAAAGGCAAATCCCTATCTACAAGTTGTAGTGTAAGAAGCAAAAGTAAGCTGATTATTATAATATAGTTAGTTGTGTGCTATTATTATAATAGAGTTAGGTGTGCCCAGCATGGGAAGAGGTTAACCAGGCCAAGAAGGAAGAGAGGTAGAGAGAAACACATCACAAACCTTGGCAGGTGAGCATGGTCCATCTAGAGAATATCAAGGACCTAGTAGGGCTGAGAGGCAGCAAGGTATGGAGGAGGGGCAGAAACGAGCCTGGAGAGTAGGCATGGGCCAGCTGGAGTCTTGCCCCAAGCTAAGGTGTTTGAACATCTTCCTGAAGCCATGTGACATCACTGAATGATATTAAAGCTGAGATTTAATGCAATTAGATATGCATTTTATAATGGTCATTCTGGCTCAGGATGGAGGATGCATTGGAAGGGGAGTGAGGTTGGAAGCAATAAAACCAATGAGAAAACTATTCTCCTCTAAAAAACAACAGAAGCATTATGACAGCTGGGAGAGGCAAGGTGAGAATGGTCAGCTTCAAGTGGTATTTACAGGGCAAATCACAGAACCCAGTGATCAGTGAGGATGGGAGATGGAGCACAGGGAGAAAGGGATGAATGCAAGTTTCTGACCTACACAGTTTTTGAATGATGATACCATTTACTTAGAGAATATGGAAAGAAACACGTAGAGATCCTGTAAGGAAATGTCGAATTTGAAGTGCCTGTGGACTTTTAAGCTAAGATGTTGAGAGAACAGTTCTCTAAATGGGGCTAGATGTCAGGAAGGAAGCATGTCCTAAAGTTAAGGATTTGAAGGTGAGAGGTATCACCTAGGAATAAAAATGTGCTTTAAAAAAATATCCAGGATGACCCTCAGAAAACATCAGAATTTATTGGGGAGAGCAAAGGAAGAAGTGTTTAGAAGCAGCAGCTAGAGAGAGGAAGAAAGCCAGGAAAAGCAGTGTCTCATAAGCCAAGAAAGGACAGATTTTCAAAATCAAGTTGTACTATTCCCATCCCAGACCAGTAGGGGCTGGGCTCCTGAGGCCCAGGTTGGGGTGTGAGAGCCCAGTCTCTAGGGTCAGGTGCAGCAAGCTGCCTGCAATGCTTGAGTCTGTGGAGAAGCCTGAAGAACAGCATCACAAGGAAGCAGCTTACAACCAAAGCCCAGTGGGCTCAAAGGCTGTACATCGGGCCAGCCAAGGCTGGGCAGAGAGAAAGGTGCCAGACTCAAACCCAATAGGCAAGAGACCAGGGAGACCTAAGGAGAGGGAACAGGCAGTGTAGGAACATAAGGCTGTGTCAGAATGGGAGACTAGATGGCTGCCTGGGTTTTTAGCCAGTTCTGCGGTTCATCTGCCAGCCTGAGAGGGAGCAGCAGTGTTCATAGTATGGAGAGAGGCATAGAGAGGTTTTGAGTGCAGGCTCTATAAGGGTAACTTCTGTGACTAACAGTAACTGAGAAGAAACGGGAGAGGCTTCCAAGGCTGATAATGTTTGTTCATTGATCTGGGTGCTGTCTTCAGTTTATGAGGTCATTGAGCTAAATATTCATGTATGCATTCTTTTCAGTGGGTATAGTTCAACAAACAGTTTAAGCATTAAAAAGAAGTCCAGAACCTGGAGTCAGATTACTGGAATCAAATCCCTGCTTTGTCATTTATGACCTGTGCAATTTGGGGCCCATTACAGAATCATAATCTTGCTTTTCAAGTTATGTTGTGAAAATAAGATAATATGTGTAAAAGTATTTAAGAATTGTGTGCTAAATTTTACCTATAAATACAACAGAGAAATTAAGTAAGATAAGGATGTCCATTGGCCTTGATGTTTTTGGTGAATGGAATGAGAGCTATTTCAATGGAGTAGGGGGCCATGAAGGATGGTCTGGGGTGGACTGAGGCATGAATGGGAGCTTGAGTGAAGATAACTCTCAAGAAGCTTATCTCAGATTCTTTATCATCTATCTATCTATCTATCTATCTATCTATCTATCTATCTATCTATCATGTATCTATCTACTCAGCTGATTTTTGAGCCAAGGAATTAGTGAGGTTACAAGTCATGAAATTGTGTTTTCCTTCAAGGATGCCTACCTGTTCAAGTGTAGACTTGGAAAGAGAGACAAATATCAGCTAAGGCTGGTGTAGCTCAAGGACACAAATCGAAGTTGTTAGATGAGGGAGAGAAGCTGGAGTGTTCAACCATGCAATTCAGGTTTGCTAGAAAATAAAAAGTCAAGATAATGCAAGTAAATTTGGAAGAAAGGGTATAGGGACTGGATGATGTTGGAAAGATTCATCAGCTATATGGGAGTGCTAGAAAGACAAATAGTAGGAGTGTAGGTCTTTAAGACTTCAGAGATGGAGCCACTCAAGATGATCACAAAATCCAGGATGTGGACATGGTCTTGGAAATAGAATGTCACAAGTGGAGAGAAGGGGAAGGGAGACCAGTGCCAGGGTGGAGTTGGGGAAGAGAGGCATGCTGATAGATGTGCTGAAGTCCTTGACAAAGTGAGAGAGTGACCATGAGATGGTGCAGGATAGCACCTCCTGAGAAGAGTTCCCACAGTCTTCTTCCACCACCCATCACGGACACCAGTAATCTTTGGGTATTATAAATAACCTAAAAGCATTATTCTGTATTCTAAATCACTTCATCTTTTTCTATCCTAAATGTAAATGGAGAAAACTGATTGCTCTATCCGTGAGAGTTCTCCATTTTCCTGAACAAGATTAGGTCACCCTTCAGTGTTCTCTTGCATTGACTGAATTCCTTTTAATCTAGTTCAAGGGTCTCTTCCCTCTTTATGATTTTCTATTTATTCTAAGTTCATGAGTTTTCTGGACTTTATACCATTCAATCCTGTATAGGACTCAGTCAGAGGTGTTGAGGATGTTTTTGTTTTTGTTTTTGGTCTCTTGTGGTCAGTTCCTTTATGTCTACCCTATAAAGAAAGATCACAGTCTAGAAAGAAAGTTAATTTACTTTATGGAATTGTAACATACTGTCAAAAATAATTTTTACATATGTTTGACTTTATGGCCATCCTGTTATTTCATTCTTAATCTTTTTACCATAGTGTTGATTTTCTCATTATTTCCTAGTTTGTTATTCATGATGACCCATCACTTTTCATTCTCACCTTTTCAGAGTCAGTCCTGAGATCCTACACATTGAAACTACAGCTCCTCTTTAATGTTGTATCATATGTCATTTTCCTCAGTTTCCAAGGAAAATTTGAGTCTGATCCCAAAACTATACTCTTTCAACATGTTGTTAAATATTTTAATGAATATTGGATCAATGGCAGGATCATATCATTTTGGCTGTCTTGCATCAGTAAATTTTAGCAGTGCTACTGAAACTTTGGTTTAGCAAATTATCTAATTAAGTAATTTTCATATCATAGCTGAAGCATTTTCAAGTGAAACTCCTCATGAAGACATCACTCAATGTGTAGCTGCTGAAAACCAAGATATGGATGAGGACCAGAATTTAAGAGATCAGATTCAGCATAGGTTAGTCTAAAACTCACTGTCCTGCTTCTTATTTCTTGCCCTTTGAACAGACTGAACATCAGTCACTTTGGAATCATCAGATCTAGAAAAAAAAGATGTATTTTCTAGCATTCAGCCTTTTACAAGTAAAACAAAACTAAATAGTTTTGATGGTGGGTGAAATATTAATGTGCTAGAATCGGAAGAGAAATCCTAGAATGGGAAGAGAAGAATTAAATCAGGCAACACTTCCCTTTATGGTTCATTACATGGACTCCTAATTTAGCCCTCATTCAGCAAATGCCAGTGAAGATCATGATATTTCAAAGAGCTAGGCTTCAGACCAGAGTATAGTTTAAAATGACTTCCATTTTGCTAAAATGATGTTATACAAAAAAAATCCCCCAAAAAACAAAAAACACCCTTCTCTTGGTTGTGCGCAGTTTGCTCATTGGAACAGAAAACTTAGAGTTAAACAATTTTATGAAACCTGGAGAAGTCTAAAAATAGGAGGTGAGCCAGAGAAAAGTAATTGTCTACATTAATTAGCTAATTAGCTGCATTAAGTTTATCTATTCTCAAGGAAGACAAGAAAGTTTCAGGAATCGTTCCAAGATTATTTTTGAGTCAAGCAAGTAAGTCTGAGCTATCTACATTTACTCAAAGATTTCTTTAACTTCTGTCTCTAAGAGAAAAACAGATGAGCTCAGGCTGTAGCTACCTTGAGAAGTGTGCTCAGAGTTAATTCTACTGTGAGTACAGCCGATCTTCCTGTAGATTTTTACCATGTGAACCAAACTTACACTGAAGGTTTCCTGAAATGGTGGCCTTTTCAAATCTTCTTTTACTCTCATATATCTCAAAAAAATATGGCTTGATGGTTAAATAATTTCTTCTTCAAAGTAATTAATATCCCATTGCCTGTATATTTTTTAGAGTTGCTTTTTCAGTTTTAACTGTATTGGCAGCTTATTTTTTCCTTATGTGTGCCGGGTAAATCATGATTAATGTTACTCAAATATTTTAATTGGTATATGTTATCATACAATATTTTTGCAGGATTATAGGCTTCTTGGACAACTGGTTTTTATTGGAGCAGTGGTTTACAGAGCCAGAAAATATTTTGATAAAAATCAATGCTGAAGTAGATAAACAGTCTTTATGCCATAAAGTAAAAGAAATGTTTATGACAGAAATAATGAAAAAAGAGAATAAAGGTAATTACATTTCTTTATAATTTTGAACTTACGTAACTGAAATGGGTGGTTTTAATGAGCTTAGGGAAAAATGAAAACACAATTACAAAGTTCTCTGTTTTATTTGAGTTATACTATCTACAAGTACTTCTCTAGCTCTCTGCTGCAGATGTTTCTAAATAAGAGATTTTTCTGTTTGTTTTAATTTAATCAAAATAAGTCATCTCACTGAAAGTACTGTTTTCATGTGGAAAAAAAAAATAGCAGTTAAAATTAACCTCAGGAGTTAACCCTCCTTTTAGGATGGAAACCCTAGACAGTTTATTTTCCCCAAATCTTGATGTGATGTGAATTTACTGATTATAACTACTTATTTTATAAGCCTTCTTCTGGAATACATCTATCACATTAAACCATCCTGACCTCCTTCCTCCTTCATTCAACCAATAATAATTGCCCACTAGCTTTTCATAGTATTATTGAAATTTATTATTGAAAGGGATCTTAGGCTAATACACTGCCAAAGCCAGAATTCAATGGAGAATTTTACCTTTGCAAAATGATTTGAAAAATAAATCTTTCTCTTTTGTTTACCAGTCACTCCTAATTGTATTGACAACAGCATCTTCTTGGTATAATAAAAAAGGTCAAAGTTAATAATACCACAAGGATTCTAAAACTGCCTTGATAGCATGCTGTCTCCTGTCACTACATTCATGACCTAACCACCATAATGTATCAATTAGCTGACCCCAAACTAGCACATAGGTATAAGCCATAAATACTGTGAGGATCCAGGAGCATACGCTTAGGAAGACAAACTCCCACATCCAAATGTCTCCTCCCAATAATCACCCATGTGAAGCTCTCAGACAAAACAAATACCAATCCATATATTATTTAAGTGGCTTAATATGTTATTCGACAGTCAGAAATTAGGTTAGAGGCTGGAGGAAACCACCCACAGCGATCTTAAGAGTCTTGGTTGGGAGGCAGAAACGCCAATTCTAAGCTGTAGCTTCAAACATCTACAGGTTAGAATCAGTTTGTTTTTGCCAGCTATCAGACTCACTTCAACATTTTCCTGAAGATTTTACATTCCAATCACTAAATACATCAACAGCTCAACTGCCACTTAGTTAAGATTTACATTCCTGTCGGTTAATCACTTGAACAGATATTTTATCATTAAAACCATAAACATTGACCTAGCCCAATGCCCTGAATTAAACCTCCTGATTAAGTTAAGTAAATAAATAAATAAAAGGATGTGGTACTTCTGTATATAGTCTGAGGTGAAGAAGTGACCATTATATACTTCTAAATAGGAAAAAGCTGGTTACATATAAAATAGTCCCGGTTTCGTTTTTAAAAGTATGTACTTTTACTAAATATACTAAATACCCTACTAAATATATACGCACAGGGAAGAATCTGGCAGTCTCTACAGTACTGGACGGTGGAGGAAGAGGGAGACAGAAACTTAACAGGCAATTTCCCTTTCCGCTTATTCGTCTAAATTGTTGGACTTTTACAAACAATAATTCTGTATTACTTTTATAATCAGAAAAAAAACCCTTACTTTCCACTCTGAAAAAACATCTAATAGAATAAGCCTCCTTGCTTGCTGAATTGAAAAGAATCTAAAGGCAGAAGGACTACGTATAAAAAAAAATAGCCACACAAGAGTGAGGGTATTCATGGCCCATGGTACAGTCAGCAGTTGCTGCCATGTCCAACAAGGAGGGCTGGTGAGGCTGGGGAGGCCGGGCAGGGCCAGACAGGAAGGGTGAACCTGAATGGTGAGAGGCAAAGGGCCATACCAGCAAGAAGAGCCTACAAAAGCAAGAACCAGCCATGTCTGCCTCTCCAGTCCCCCAGGCTGACGGGCTCCTCTACCCTGCTCAGCCCTCTATTTAAATAAACTTAAAAAGCTGCCCCCCAGCACTCCTGATCCTCTTTACTCTCTTCTGTTTATTTTCTCCATAGCACTTACCACCACCCACCCCTTCTATAAAGTAACTTACTCATCATGGTTATGGTTTGCCAACCACCGCTAAAATGCAGGCTTCAGAGGGCAGCGATTCTTCTCTTTTGTTTTACTGACCTATCTCTGGCAACCAGAACTGGGCCTACTGTTGTTTTTACTACTTATTAGCAGTAGTGGTGGGAGTTTTACCTCATTTTAGGACCCTTCCTTTCTTCTGAGGCACAATTCAAATCCAATAAATAGTTTCTGCTTGAGATAAGAATTGTTAAGAAGACTTGAGTACTATGCACTAATCTATGTACTTTGCATGCATTTACTCCCAGAAGTCTGGAAGGCTTTCCCCTTCTGTCTCATTCCCACCCCCAAGGCTTCGGTCACTTTGTTCTTCACCTTCTTTTCATGAGTTCTTTACCTTGGTTTTCCACTGTTAATTTTGAAGTAATCCTTTATTTTCCTATTCCACTACATTAGCTACATTTAGATTGTTACTTTTACATTTGGCATCCCTTGTCAACAAGCCTTTCTACCTGCTACACATGATAAGGAAAATCTGTGTCCTAAGATGGCTGACTGAGTCAGTGAGAGAGTCCCAGTCCTTGCCCCAGGGCTCTTCCGGGTTCTTATCCCTGCTCTGCTTCCCGCACACACCAATCCAGGTTCTTCTCCCTGCCCCACTTCGTGCATGTGCCAAAAGTGCCAAGTATATGGAAGTAGAAGTGTATAAATTGCCCCCTTTGTTTGTGCTTAGGGCTCAGACCTTTGGAGAACACTCTCCTCTGAGCCCACTGGCATTAAATAAACCTCCTACCCTCCAAGATCTCCGAGTGCCGCTTGGTTCTTCTGTCACGCAATCCAGTCCAGGTTCTGTAACATTTGGTTCCCTGACCAAGAAACCCAACCACGCTGGCCCATTGTTGCCACCGGTTTGGGGCAACAGCGGGGCGGTGATGGAACGAGGGATCATAATGGAGAAGGTGCTCCCTGCCTAATTTTTGGCAGTCTCCCACCCTGGTCGCCTCGTGCCGGCCCTGCTCCGCTGTTCCCGCCAGACTCGAGGAGATTTGGCAGGTGAGGACCTGGTCCTGATGTCGGATTCTGGTAAGGCCTGGGGCCCCAGGACCCAGACAGGCCCACCCCCACTGGGGTGGAAGGGGAGTCTGATCACCTCCCAGAGACCTCTTAGAGGTCTCACAGGTAGGGATTCCCAGGGAGGGAATGTAATAACTTCTAGAGTGTGAGTGTGTGAGTGAATGTGCAGTCTGACCTGGCTTGCTCAAGCTGACTGATTCTGTGACTCCACGGGCGGGCACCCTTAAGGTCCCCAGAAGCCTATGGAGTCTGAGTGGGCCCATCTGCGATTCCGTGGTGAATAGCACACAGTCTGTGGTGGCATCGGGATAGTTTCTGATCATAAATCACAACACTGAGACCGCTACGGCTAAGCCTCATCTAAGCTCCTTTGAGACATGGCCAAACAGGCATCTGATTGGTCTCCTCACCTCAGGAGGCACCCCCCTCTTTGTCTGTCTCTGCGCCACTGCACACGGGGACATCACCACGGGGTCAGGGCAGAGTAAACCTACGGTTCTAAAGACCATGATCAAAAACTTCAAGTAGGGGTTTTCGGGAGACTGTGGAGTCAGGATGAACCCTGGCAAGTTGAGAACCCTATGGAGCACGCACCAGCAGGAGTCATCAACCCTGCTGCCTGGGCTAGTATGGATGCACCCAAAGAGCACCCAGCATGGGACTTCACCACAATCGAGGGACAGGCCCACATCTGCTGGTACCAGGAGCCCTCCTCCAGGGAATCCGGGTAGGAGCTAAGAAACCATGAATATGACTAAGGTATCCTTGGTCACTCAACAACCAGTGGAGTCCCTCAGGGACTACTACGAAAGACTATGTGAAGCCTACAGGATATACACTCCATTTGACCCCAAGACGCAGGAAAGCCAACAGATGATAAACACCTCCTTCGTGGCTCAGGCTGCCCCAGACATCAGAAAAAACTTCAGAAACTAGAGGGTTTTGCCGGGATGAACATCACCCAACTAATAGAGTTTGCCAGTAAGGTCTACATGAATAGGGAGGTCGCAGCCTAATGGGAAGCCAACAAAAAAGATGAAAAAGAAAGTCAGCCTCCTCACTGCCGCTCTGAAAGAAAAGGACAACACAAAGATGGGGAGATCCCAACCACCGAAAGGGGGGAAGCCCAGAACCCCTTGGCAAGGGATCAATGTGCCTACTGTAAAGAGAAAGGGCATTGGAGAAATGAATGTCCCAACCAGGGAAAGGCTCAAAAGCCCAGCTGCTACAATTCCCTGTGTGGGAATTGACACAGATTGACGGGGACTGGGCTTTTTCCTCCTTGGCCCCCATGATTCCATGGTCAGAATGAAGGTGGGGGGCCAACCAGTGACTGTTATGGTTGATATTGGGGCTGAGCACTCTGTTGTCACCTCCCCAGTGACCCCTTTCATCAAAAGGATTGCGACAATTCTTAGGGCGACCAGGACGCAGGCGATACAACAGCCCTTTTGCCAGACTCGCCGGTGTGAACTTGGAGGCCACAAGGTCCGACATGAATTCCCTTATCTGCCTGATCACCCCATCCCTCTCCTGGGCTGAGACATGCTCTCCAAGCTTAGGGCTCAGATAACCTTTGAGCCCACTGGACACACTAGCCTCCTATTGAACCCAAGGCAAGAAGAGATGGGGTCTCCAATACTAGCAATTACCATGCCAAGGGAAGAAGAATGGAGGCTATTCTGTGCCCAGGCCCAACTGAGCAGCCCATTGGAGTTTAGACTCGCCTTCCCTTCAGTATGGGCTAAAAACAACCCACCTGGACTAGCCCGGAATCGGGCCCCTATCATTGTTGAACTGATCCCAGGAGCCCAACCTCAAAGGCAAAGGCAATACCCCCTTCCACAGAAGCTAAGATCAGCATCCAAAAATATCTGACCAAACTCAAAGAAGCAGGTATTCTAGTCGAGTGCCAACCAGCCTGGAATACCCCACTCCTGCCAGTCAAGAAGCCAGGAGGGGTATACCGACCAGTTCAAAACCTATGGGCCATCAACAAGGTGACCATCTCTCTGCACCCAGTGGTCCCGAATCCATACACCATCCTCAGCCAAATCCCAGGGTCGGCAGATGGTTCACTTGCCTAGATTTGATGGATGCCTTCTTCTGCCTCCGTTTAGCTCCCCAGAGCCAGCCACTATTTGCCTTTGAATGGTCTGAACCTGATATAGGGTGCTAGATGCAACTGACTTAGACGCGCCTCCTGCAGGGGTTTAAAAACTCACCAACCCTCTTTGGGGAAGTGCTGGCCGTGGGCCTTGCCAGCTTCCCAAGAGAGGCCACGCGATGCACCCTCCTCCAGTATGTGGATGACCTCCTCCTCACCAGTGACACACAAAAAGACTGCACAAAAGGCACAAAGGCCCTCCTACAGCTCCTGTCAGACTTGGGATACTGAGCCTCATGGAAGAAGGCAAAATCTGCCTACAACAGGTCCAATACCTTGGTTTCCTCCTCACCCAAGGGAAAAGAGAACTAGGGCTGGAGAGAAAAAGGGTCATCATCTCCCTGCCACAGCCCCAGACAAAAAGGGGCCTACGAGAATTCCTGGGGGCTGCAGGATTCTGCTCCATCTGGATCCCTGAGTTCTCAGCAATAGCAAGACCTCTTTATGATCTCTTAGGGGGACCAGATCGAGAACCCCCCGCCTGGACTGAGGAAGCAGAAGCTGCTTTCACAGAGATAAAGACCACCCTGGGGCAGGCTCTAGCCCTGGGCTTACCAGATGTAGAAAAACCCTTCAATCTCTTTGTACATGAAAAGGAAAAAATAGCACTCAGGGTACTCACCCAGACTGTTGGGCCCTGGCAATGGCCAGTTGCTTACCTGTCAAAGAAGCTGGACCCCATGGCAGCGGGATGGCCACCATGCCTCAGGGCGCTTGCAGCCACAGTCCTACTCATCAGGAGGCAGACAAACTTACCCTGGGGCAAGAACTTAATGTCAAGGTTGCTCATGCAGTTGTGTCCCTCATGAACGCACAGGGACACCACTTCCTTTCCAACTCTCAGCTAGCACAATACCAAGGGCTCCTCTGTGAAAGAGCTCCTCTGTGAAAACCCATGGGTCACCCTTGAAACAGTAAGGACATTAAATCCAGCAACCTTTATCCCCATGGAAGAGGGGGTACCAGACCATGACTGCTCTGAGGTGACTGATGAAGTCTATGTGAGCCATCCAGATCTGCGGGATCAAGTCATAAAGAATCCAGAGCTCACGCTGTTCAGCGATGGCAGCAGTTACCTACAGGAGGGTGCCCGGAAAGCGGGTTATACAGTAACCACAACCACTGAAGTCCTAGAAGCTAAGGCATTACCAGCTGGATGGTCAGCTCAACGGGCTGAATTATATGCCTTAGAGCCCTCACCCTCGGTGAAGGCAAGCAAGTCAATATCTATACTGACTCTCCGTACACCTTTGCTACTCTACATATACATGGAGCCATCTACAAGGAAAGGGGCCTCCTAACCAAAGCAGGAAATGCTATCAAGAACAAGGAGGAGATACTGAGACTCCTCGAAGCTGTCTGGCTTCCAAAGGAAGTAGCAATCCTGCACTGTAAGGGACACCAGAAAGGAGATGACCCCATAGCTCGGGGAAGTCGTCTAGCAGATGAGGCAGCCAAGGCCACAGCCAGTGAGGACATAGACAGAGCCCCTTCCCTCACCATGGCCCTAACACCCCTGGAAGAAGTCCCTCCACCCAATTACACTAAAAAGGGAAAGGAATGGCCATGGCTGAGGGGGCCACCCTGATTGAAAATGGATGGTGGATGATGCCAGACAGGTGCATCTTTGTTCCAACAGCAACTTGAGGGCATCTAGTCAAGGAACACCACCGACTCACTCATCTGGGAAAAACTGCATTAGAGCCTTCTCAAGAAGCACTACTACATCAGTGAGCTGCCAGCACTGTGCCGAGCAACGAGTGAACGGTGCATAACATGTGCTAAAAATAATGCTCGGTCTGCACCACGTCCCCCACCAGGTGTCCAGAGGATGGGAGCACCCCCTTTGAAGATCTAGAGGTAGACTTCACAGATGTGCAGCCGAGCAGGGGGTTCAGATATCTCCTAGTAATAGTATGCACAAAGCCTTCTGACCAGGACGGAGCAAAGCCGGGAAGTAGCTAAAGTCCTCTTATGGGAGATCGTTCGGCCTGCCATTAACAATCCATAGTGACAATGGACCCGCATTTGTGGCAGACATTGTACAGGTCTTGACCAAATCTCTCAACATCATCTGGAGACTCTACACTGCTTCCCGGCCCCAAAGTTCAGGGAAGGTAGAGCGAATGAATCGCACCCTCAAGAGAACCTTAGCAAAGTTTTGTCCAGAGACTAACCTCCCATGGCCGGATCTGCTACCCCTAGTTCTCCTGCATGCTCGCTGCAAGCCCCAGACATCAGGTTTCTCCCCATTCGAATTAATATATGGATGGCCTCCCCGTGCTTGGGAAGCCTTCCAGGAAATTTACATCAGGTTGGAGATAAAGGGATAAAGGTGCAGCTTCAGGCCCTGGGGGCCACCCTAAATAAATTACAAAAGTACACCACTGAGAGGACCCCAATCTCCTTAGGGTCTCAGGTATACTCCTTCCAGACAGGGGTCTCAGTTTGTGTCAAAGATTGGAAGAAAGACCCCCTCAAACCGCAGTGGGCAGGGCCCCACACTGTTGTTCTAACCACCCCTACTGCCCTCAAGGTCTCAGGTGTCACCCCATGGGTCCACCACTCAAGAGTGAAGAAAGCTCATCATTCGGATGAGGAGCCGCGCCAGTGGAGAGTCCAGTCAGACTTCATGAACCCACTCCAGCTTCACCTTTGACAAGACCCCACCGTGGTCCCTGGCTCTCATTGGCGTGATTTCCCTCATCTTGGGAGTCAGACTGTATACTGCTGCCCCTCCTGATTGGACTTTCCCCCAGAGGCTTCTACCTAAGGTCATAAATCCCACTTTTACTGGCCCTCTGCTGTCTACTCCTGAGCGCATTTCACCATGATTTTCCTGGCCCCAGTCTGTCCTGGTCTTCTGCTACCTGGTGTGCTATTAAGTTTATGATTAAGTCCGTGTTTGCCCCAAGCCTTGCAGTCAACCCTTAGAGTCAAACAGAATGATGCCCTCTATACTAGGTGTTTAATGGGACATCAAAGGGGGGAATGATAAGGAAAATCTATGTCCTAAGATGGCCGACCGAGCCAGTGAGAGAGTCCCAGTCCCTGCCCCGGGGCTCTTCCGGGTTCTTCTCCCTGCCCTGCTTCGCGCACGTGCCAAAAGTGCCAAGTATGTGGAAGTAGAAGTGTATAAATTGCCCCCTTTGTTTGTGCTTGGGGCTCAGACCTTTGGAGACCACTCTCCTCTGAGCCCACTGGCGTTAAATAAGCCTCCTGTCCTCCAATATCTCCGAGTGCTGCTTGGTTCTTCCGTCGGGCGATCCAGTCCAGGTTCCGTAACACACACATGCACACACATCATCATCATCATCATCATTATCCACAAAGTAAACAGTGTTTCTAACCAGGCAGAGAAGGCTTCAAATCCTAGCTTTAAGGACTGGATGATTTAAGGGAGAGCCTTAAAACATGAATTTAAACTTAAATCAGTATGGGCAATTTTATATTAATTTAGGCTTATCTTGGTTCAAGTAAAATAGCGGGTGTCTAGAGTCTCTAATAAAGGTCCATTCTTCTTATCTTTTCGAAGTTAAAAAGAAGTTAGAAGAAAAGGAAGCTGAGAAAAAAGAAGTCCCCCTGGCTGAGCCTCCGTCTCCTCCTCCCCCTCCCCTTCCTTCTCTTGAGCCAGAAAAGGAGAAGGAAACCCATTCACAAACTCCTCCAGCAAAAGGGAAACCACCATCAGGTGATTGAAAGAATAATTTATAATCCTGTTTTCCAGTTTCTTATCTTCGCTTAGAAAAGAATTATAAATCGCAGTACCAATGCCCTTATTTAGATTCAGACTTGGAGCAACTTCAATGGTATGATTAGGTGCTCAGACAGAAGTGGGAAAGTCCTCAGTAGCTAAGAGCGTGGAGGGAAAGTGGAGTCCTCCTACCCAGTTCTTCTGGTTAGAATAAGGCCACAGGTGAGAATAGGAAGGGCACAGGAGAATAACCAGAAGGAACTTAGAGCAGATCAAAAGGACGGACGTCTGTTTGCTGAACTGTAGACTGATGTTTTTTTGTAGAGTGAGAACATCTTCAGAAAATGAGAGTTAGTATAGCTAGTTGTTCATAAGAATAAGGGAACAAATCAACAGCATTCATCAGGGTCTAGAATTCATATGTAACTTCATCATCTGTGGGAGTATATGTGATAATAAAAGGATAGAAATGAGCACCTGGCTTCTCAGGAAATGTATATGTTTGTAATTTATAATATATACGGATAAAGAGTTTGTGTAGGGAGTATTTTTTTAGCTTAAGTTCTTTCTACATCTTTAACCACGAAGGGCCATTAACTTAAGTGGTAGACAATAAATATAATGACCCAAGTGAAGTGCTCAATCGTTGCTGTGCACGATATTGGTAGAATGTTAGTATCAGTTTGGTGCTGTGTATAAGAAACAAATGTGGCTCTCGGGTCTAGTTTTAGCTTTGTAAGTAGTTGGCTGTGCATTACAGAAGTCGACCCAGGAATCTTTGATCTTGTGTCATCATTGTATTTTTAAACTCCAGAATCTTTGTGCTTCGTGGACATTTGAGAAGGATGTGAATTTTTTAATTGAATTTATTTATATTAAACAAATAAATTTAAAGACTTAAGTAACATATATTATGTTCTATTAAAGACCATTGTATTCCAATAAAATGGGGTTTGACTAAAGGCAAAACACGCAAATTCTAAAGAAATGTTTTTTTTATCATATGAAGAATAAAGCACAAAGCCATAAATTAAATATATATGCCCTTTTCCCACTACCTCATTAGGAATTAAAAAAAAATTCAGAGGTCTGGAGGAAAAATAGAAATCTGTTTAGAACTGGGGAGAACAGTTTTCACAGTGGCTCGAGTAGCCTAGACTTATCCATTGTAGTCCTTTAACCTCTGACCATGGCTGTCCTACCACGACCTCCCCCTTGGTCCGCTCGAAATCTGGGTGACCTGTGTACCTGAGCCATTCCCCGAAACCAATCTCTGGTGTTTCTGGTTATAACACAGTTCAGTCTTTAAGTTTCTGAAGTTTGCGTGCGATTTTAAAATTGTATTCTTGAATACTGTGCATGGGAGGAATAATAAAGCTATTGTTGCTTAAAAGAGTGCTTGCATCTGTCTCTTTTTTTCACCAAGGACAGGCCTACTGCCTGATCTTTAAAAACTTATCCAAGTGTTAATCTCCAGAAGCCTAATTACTGCCTTCGAACAACAATGCCTTAATGGAAAGAGATCTCTGTGCTCGTGGGCATCGAGGGGGCAGTAGAGCGAGGCAGTGAAACGGGTGGCTGCCCTTACAGCTCAGGGAAGCTTAGTGAAGCAATTTTAGAGGGGAAAGTTCCTGGCAGGTTTGTTTATTTTTATATAAATAATTAACAATTTTTTTCAAATGAAATGTTTTTAGAAATGAAAACCTGAGGCTTCTGAACATGTCCATCTCAAACACCCAACTACAGTCTTTAGAAGTTGAGATGAAAAGAGGAATTACTGGGGCACCTGGGTAGCTCAGTCGGTTAAGCTTCTGCCTTCGGCTCAGGTCATGATCCCAGGGTGCTGGGATTGAGCCCCGCGTCAGGCTCCCTGCTCCGTGGGAAGCCTGCTTCTCCGTCTCCCACTCCCCCTGCTTGCGTTCCCTCTCTCGCTGTCTCTCTCAAATAAATAAATAAAATCTTTAAAAAAAAAGAAAAGAAAAGAGGAATTATTTACCAAAAATTAAAAAAAAAAATCAGGGTAGAAACAGTAAAGAAGGAGGCATAGGGCACTGAGTACAGTCATTTTGTCCCCATATGGTTCTGCATTGTATATAGTTCTACATTTTATATCTGCTTCAAATGTACTTGGGATTAAATCTGAAGGAGTTCACAGTTAACATTCTATTAAAGGGTCTATTATCAAATCCACTACCAAACTTCAGAATTCAATTTAAAACTTGAGCTGTCAGTGTGACACAATATAATAGTACTATATCCATGCTGCTATTTAAAAATATTTTTTGAGATTTCAGAATCTATTTTAGAACTGATTTTAAAAAAACAGGTAGAGTAGATGTTGCCCCAGCCGAAATTAGACTTGCCCACAATGCTTTATAAATTCAGTGTCCTTTATAAATTCAGATATCTCTATCTGTAACTTCTATTCTCTGTTGCCTTGTTTAGAGCTAGTTTAGAGCTAAATAGTTGGTTACCCAAAGTATTGTTATTAAAGGAAGTAGGAGCTTATCTAAACTTTATTGTTACTATTATTAAGCTTATTTCTAAAAAAAGCAACTAGTTCAAATGTTTGGTTTTTATGTATTTGTTTGTTTGTTTACTTATTTTTGAGTCTGGCAGTCGGCTATTTGGATACTTAAAAGTCTTTTTATAAAGGCTGACCAAGTTTAAGGTTAATCCTTTTCTATGTCTTCTTTCTATGAAGTCTTGGTTGTTGGATCTGAGAAGTTTAAATATGGCATGTGCTATACATTTACACATTCTTATAATTATCACTTCTAAATATAAATAGTAGGTCAGACAGTGTCTCTCCATCATAGGCATTTAAATTGTCCCATATGTCCATCCTTCCAATGAAGAGTAAACTATAGCCCAGGGCAAAGAGTAGATAATGATTGAACTTGTTTGGTGAATAATGTGGAATATAGGGATTTTTTTCAAGGAACTAATTTATTATTTGGGATGCCTTATTGACCTTTAGATGATCAGTTTTGCGTTTTCCCCCTTCCAGCATAGTTTTGAACTAGAGTTCAAGGAATCCAAGATAACCATATCCAAACCATCCTTTACATTGCAAGTTATAGTCAATGCAAAACAGAAATGTAGAAATTACAAGGCGTGAGGTCAGGAAAAGCTCAAGGATGCATCATCTCAAAACAATGTGGTTATTCAGCTCTTCCTCAAGGTGTTTTGGCATCATCTTATTACAGATTTAGTTGTCTTATTGTATAAGGATCATTTAGTTGAAATAAATAAAAATAGAGCCATATGCTTCAAATGAACTTGTAACTAACTTTTAAAACTCTGCAGGTTATGTTGCATTGAAGAGTTTACAATCAAGTCCACTACCAAATATTGATACTAAACTTCTCAGTGTGACAAATCAAATAGCACTATCAGGGCTGTCATTCAAAAAGTTTTAATCCAGTCTGTCTTCAGGTTAATTTTAGCTCAAGTGAAGACGTCACAAATATAACTGTTTATCTGTGAGAAATAGCATTGGATTGTGTATGAGTAATATAGCCCAGAATATTAAAGAAAATCATCAATAATGTTTATGTCTTGAATTTTGTTTAGAGTCCTTGCATGGTAAGCAAGAATCTCTTCAGGAAGGAAAAGGGAAGAAAGGTGACACTTCACTCAAAAGAAAAGGTACCGCAGATAAAGATAGATATGGTTCAATGTAATTCTGCATTTCCTAACTGCCTCAGGGAAGAGAGCCAGATTTGTTAGTTGTATACACTGAATACTTCTCTTAGGCCTTGTAAACCATAAGCCCTTGCCAAAGAATATAACCTCAGTCGTTCTGTAGCCTGGATTTTAGCAAAGGTCCTGCTGAGAAAAGTGATGTTTGTGGGGAATAATTTAGAGATATCTAGTATACAGAATATCCATTCATCATAGAAATTATAGGTGTTATCCTTGGGCTAAGCTATGCCATCAGAAAGCTATGCACTGAACCATATTTTCTTGAGCTCTCATCAAATTGCCTTCACTGATATGCACTTCAGTATAAAGTCCTCAACTCCCTTCACAGTATAACATAGCAGTGGAGGTGAAACTTTCATTATACCAATAATAACCTCATATTTTATTTTCTGAGGGGATAGTATGCCCACTACATCATTTAATGGCCCATATATGAAATCCTAGGTGAGAAATTTCATTCAGAATCAAGGGACAGGAAACTCTTCCTCTGAGTGGTTAGATAATTAGCACATCTAAATGATGATACTTCCTTTTCTATTTTGGCTGACCAGAAGTTCAGAACCAAACTAGTGCCCGTATCCATGCAAGGGTACCTAGATCTCAATATCTGCTTTCTAATACCTCTCCCAGTTTTGACCTTCCACTTTAAGTTGTACTTGTCCTCACCCTAATTTCATGTAATTTTTTTCTATTTTATTTTAACTGTTTCTGTGAAATAAAGGGGGTAAAATTTTTAAGTAATTGATAGTTGACAGAAGAAAATCCTAGATTCGTAACAGCATCTTAGTTAGATTTATGGTGAAGCTGCTATAACAACCAATTAAAGATTGAAATGCAGTTATAAATATATACAGTTGGCTTTTTCAGGGTATATTCACATGGGGTTGTCATGAGTGTGTACCTTTTCTTAACTTTTCATTATAAATTGCCAAATGCAGTTGCAAGCCAAGAGTGTGCAAGTTCACATAATGATGGGCTGAAAGGATCTTTATTTTGCCATTTAAAAATACATAACCATGATCCCAAAGAGAATTTCATCCTTCTCTAATTATGTAACATGATATATAACTAGAGCCACCTGATGAGTTAACACTGAGATATAAATTTTAGCCAAAATGTTAAGGGCTATAATTTATGCTCAGCTCTACTGATTTACTAATAGGAGAATAATTTTTGCATTTACAGTATTTATTCCTTGCTTTCTCATTGTGATCAATAAAAGCAAATGAAGGATCATCATAGAATCTTCAAAAATACAAATTAAAAAAAACAAATTAAATATACTATGCATATTAGTTACCAAATCAAGTTAATATAATAATGCACATGCTTTAAGAGCATCCTTATTTAAAAGTATACACACCCCAAACAAATCATAAGCAAATACAAGTTCAACCAGTAAAATATATACATTGGAGTCATGCAGTTAGCTCAATTTAAGTAACTAAGAATTTTCAAACATTTTTTACTTTTATTTTACTGGATTTCTGTTGTGTTAAATAATATTTGAAATAGGTGAATTTGCAATCATGATTTAGAAGTCTTTCTGTTGGGGTGCCTGGGTGGCTCAGTTGGTTAAGCGAATGCCTTCAGCTCAGGTCATGATCCTGGAGTCCCTGGATCGAGTCCCGCATTGGGCTCCCTGCTCAGCAGGGAGTCTGCTTCTCCCTCTGACCCTCCCCCCTCTCATGTGCTCTCTCTCATTCTCTCTCTCTCAAATAAATAAATAAATAATCTTTAAAAAAAAAAGAAGTCTTTCTGTTACATAGAAATGCTGTTTTTCAGCATGTGTCAGGTTTCCTCATTAAAAGGAAGTTACGATTTTAATTCTTAGTATTTAAAATTAACATCACTGGAGGTGAACACAACTGATTGATTATCCATTTATCTCATAGGTCAGTTGATACCATTATAATGAGATCATCTCTTCTGGTTTAAGGAGCTATCTCCTTTTTTCTTTCTTCAAACTTACCTTTATTTCCTGCTGTTGACATCTTTGACTCAGTCCTATTCTTCTCTGCATAATAGATCAGTCTCTACCCTTCTTCTCCCAAATCTTGACACTGAAATGCCTTTTGCCAAGTGTATTTTGGTGTTCTTAAATCATTTCTTATTCTCTTCAACCCATTTGCCATTGTCCCATGTTATTGATTCATAAAACACAGCTTTTCAACCCCATGATCTTACCTACCACTTGTTAATTAGGGGCTGAATGAAGAAAGTTTTCCCTAATCAACTAATTGCAGAAAATACTGAATTAGGCCAAGTTAAAAAGTTTTTAATGCAGGATTTTAAAAAATATATCAATATGCATCTCTAAGGAAGTGGGAAATACAATATGTAATATCCCAAAATATTTTGGCTGCAGAATTCTCTCTTGGAAGAGTATCTATTGGGGCTAGAGTTTTATGGAACAAACATCAGGGAATGATGTTGTCTTTAGTTCCACTGGCCTGCCCACGTGTTGGCACTGGCATCGTCCCAGTGCTTGCTTTCCAACTTGACTTACAGTAATAGGTGCTACCAGGCCACTTAGCAGTAAATGAAATGTCAGTGTTATAAACATCAGTGACATTTAACTGGAAGGGCATGGAAAAAGATAAAAGGCTAATGAAATTGAAATATCTGGCTGCATCCACCAGAACAGTGGCTCTTTAAGTGTGGTCACCTGGGAACTTACTAACAACACAAACACTTGGCCCCACTCCAGACCTACCAAATCTAAAACTCCTGGAGGGGCCCAGCAATTTGTGTTTTAACAAACCCTCTAGGGAATTCTGATGATCGTTAAAATTGGGAAACTATTAAACTGGAGCCCAAGGATTAATCCTGTACTGTAGCCATTGGAATATCAGAAACATTCAATTATTTATAACATATTTTTTATATGTCCCATCCCCCAAAATATTTCATTTGGATTGCAATTTAGGAAAAACATACATATGAACTGTTTCTATTTCAACATTGAACGGCTACACTGGGGACTAAACAATCCAGCTTTCAAGTGAAAGCCGGTCTCTCATTAGAAACTGAAGCTTCCATGTGGTCGGGTGAGTGGTACTGAGGAAGAAACGCCCCCCTGTTACATTTAAGATGCTGGCAGATTATGTTCAAATCCCTATGGCATAGATACATTTTTATTCATTCAAATTTTGTTTTTCCCCTTAGCATTTTCATTGTTAAAAAATAGATATAAGTTAAATGGAATCAAAGCACGATAGTCCAAAAAGACTACCTGGCTCTTAGTTTTCACTGACTGATCATGTTATTTAAGAAAAGAAGAAAGAAGAAACTCATTTCAGTCTCACATTTACAATTGCAAAGTTCTTCCTCTTAGGAATTCTTCTTAGAGAAATTCATCTTAAAGTGCCCATAGTGTTATCATTTTTATTTCACCAGATTCAGGTCAAATAACAGGAAATCACCCTATTGAAATATATATCAAATAATGAACATTGTTGGTTATTGCCTGAACAAAGATTTTCTTAAATTTTTCCTAAATGTAAAAAGAGCTGGATATAACTTTAGACCTATAGATAATGGATACTATTTTTAAATGTGTAAGTAGAGGTCACCTAAACTCTCCATAAGACATAATTGACAATTTCCCCTCTACTTATAATCTATATAATTTAACTAGCATAAAAGTGTAAGATATATTTACTTTTCTAAATAGCATTATCATTAAATAATCCTCATTAAGGAAATATAGCTTGGGAAATAAAGTATTCCCAAATCTATAGGTGTCTATAAACTGCATCTAAAATCTCAGTAATTATTCTGAAGGTAAGTGCAATTTAAACAGAATGATTTTCTAAACCATAATAACCTTGATCCTTTAAGGGAATATTAGGCTTTCTGAGTTCCGCTACTTTGATGAATCACAGGATCTTTCAGACCATAAGAGTGCCATGCCACCCAACTGATCTAGATTCCTTTCTTTATGCTCTCAGGGGGAGTGAAGCATATGCCCTTTGTGGATTCTGAACTGAACATTAGCATTCTTTCTCTTCCTCCTCTTTCTCCTCCTCTACCTCCTCTTCCTCCCTCCTCTCTCTTTCTCTTCTCTCCCCTTCTCTCTTTCTTATGCCTTAATTCAGCCAGGCTTATGGCACAGAAGGTACCTTCATCCATACTCCCTGAGTGTAGCAAGAAATACAGTTTCCCACTCAGAAACCCTGTGTCTCAGTCAGGGAATGTTGGAATATTCAGGAGCTACAATACTCACTGTGTCTCCTTCCCCACATCCTTCACTGACTCCGGCTGACTTACAGTAACCTCCTTCCTTCCTATTCCTCCCCTGAGCTTCAAAACAAAAACAAAAACAAACAAACAAACAAAACCGATCAAGAGCACTGCTCATAGTAGACTTACTCTTTCTCATTCAGGATGGAGAATTTAATTTGCTAGTACTTGCAATAGTAAATGAAATGCAATTTTCAGTGTAAACTTTGTTCATTATGGAAGCAAGGACAGAGACAAAAATAAAATACCAAGCTGCTTTTGATAGCCAACTGGACAAAAAACCTGAGTGGCTTACAAAACAAAACAAAACAAAACAGAACCCCAAACCTGTTCCTGATATTATTGGTTAATTTGGAGGATGTAGAGAATAGGGTGTTTGATTTTTTTGATTTGCTAAGACTCCCCAAAACTGCTTAATGAGTTGCCTGAAGTCCACAGTAATCCTAGATTTATTCATCCACCAGAATCTGGTTCCATTCATCTACTTGTAGTGGAATGATTTATTATGCATATTTAAGGTTCTCCTAAAGGAAAATCACCAGGAGGGAAAGCGCCAGTAAAGAAATCACCTGCCGATTCTACAAATGTGTCACCTGTTCCCATAGTGCCACCACCACCTAAGCCAGGAGCCGAAGAATGGGTCTACGTGAATGAACCAATTCCTGAGGTATGGCAGTTTAGATTGAAGCTAGTAGAAGCTAGCCTTTCTCTTGTTTATAGTAAGATTCACACCATTATTTGCACCATCCAGGCCTTTTATAGCTGGTGATATGTATGCTCATCAGAAAGCCAAGGTGAGGGCACGCATGGTGATGAGCACTGGGTGTTATACTCAACTAATGAATCATTGAACAGTACATCAAAAATTAATGATGGACTATATGTTGGCTAACTGAACATAATAATAAAAAAAGCTGAGGTGAATTTTTGACACTATTCATTGAATCACATTGTATCCTCTCTCTACTCCTTCGAGTTTCTGAGTCATGCTTTGAACCACTATTAAGTGCTGAAAGCAGGAGAACAAATGGGTTCTGTGAGGACCAATTTTCTCCCCAAGGACAAGCAGAGATGCAGTTTCCTGGAAGAATGACTTCCTCAGAACACATATCCAGCAAATTATAGCCCTCCATCCATATTCTCATGTCTGCATTGTAATGCTTTCAAATGAAGTTTAACTTCTGACTTTTTACAAATAGAAGAAACTTTTTGAAGCTAACTAAACTAATAAAAGAACAGGTCACTGTCTGGCCTGAGAACTTTAAATAGGTATGCCAGAATAAGGTGAACTCTGGGAACTCCCTTCAGTTCTTTGTTCTCTGACAACTGCAAAGCCCAGTCTCCACGTAGGCAAAGCTGGTTGCTTCAATAGATAAATCATCTTAAGAAAATCACCAAGAATGGTCTTTCCTTTCACACTTTTTTCAAAGACAAATTGCTCTATAAAAGATGCAGCCCCTTTTTTTTTTCACTGCAATCCTCAGTGAATTCTTACTCTTATGAACTCTGAGCACTGACTGCTTGGGCCAGGCATTTGAGACCAATGATGAATTTCAGTGGTTGTGCTGTTGCTGTTATTATTGATCTTTCCTAGGGAAATGTCTTATATCCCCAATTAGATTATAACCTCTTTGAAAGAGGGTAAGAACATGTGGGATAATTGACTGTATTCAATACAGAATCAAACACAACATAGATTCTTGATGAAGTTCTAATGATTTAATTAATTTACATTGATAAGGAAGCTAGAACAGAAAATGTTTGAAAATGACAACATTAAATGATACAATTGTAGATGAGTGTAATATCACTCAGCCAAACGAAGCTACTTATTGAAATAAATACATTAAAAAAACTTGTCATAGAATCGGGATATAGAAATGGTTGTTGGGAAGTAGATAAAACTAAAATGATATTATTTGGCAGGGTTGGGGAGTAAGAGACAAAAATATTGAAATTTAATCCTTAAATCCAAACCTTGAAGCTCATGAGAGAAATAAATACATAGAGGACAAGAAGGAAATAGAGGGCAGAAGTGAAAAAATAAACATTAACCCTGAGGTTTGGCACCAGCTCCCATGTAGATCTTCTAGCAGTCAGGATTCTGGCAGAAAACAGATGATAATTTAAGGAGAGTTGAATAAAGGATCAAAAATAAGGGCACATATAAGGATTTGATTATTACCCCCAAACAAGGGGTAGCTGGGAGCCATATGGCCTCTAGGCCTGAAAGGGTGGGGAAAAGGAGCAGATGCTTGGAAGCCAAGAGGACCTCTGTGTGGAGAGGGCCATCTGGCAGGAGCGGAGGCCTTCAGCAGAGGGATGTAGCCACCCACAGTGACACAGCAGAGGGGAGTGGGGAAATACAGGACCAGACCTCATGTTCTTCTTGCTCTCCCATCTCTTGCCCAGAAGATGGAGGGTAAGGTTGTTTCCTGAAGTAGTTCACATAAGTTAGCCTTCCAGGGCACTGAGCAGCCCGAAGAATGAAGGATAGGAACTTGGTCTGTAGGAACAATGGGAAGATATGCAGCACAGACCTCTACCTCTAATAACCTAAGTGAAACCATGTGGAGAACACATTTTGCTACAACTGGAAGTAGTCTAGAGCCTAGAAACAAAGCAGCCACATGATCCTCTCTAGTCCTTTTCCCACCCTAAGGTTCTCACCCTTTGGCAGGTAAGCTGTAGAGCTTACCTGTCGAAGAAGAAAGACAGATGCCCAGTTAAATTTGAATTTTAGATTATCAATGAATTTAAGTGGGCTTCCTATAATTTATCTGGTAACCCCAGTTCCAGGCCATCCAAGGACCCCATATCTACCTCCCTCAGTAGGCATGTGGACAGAGAAAGAGAGGAAGGGGGAGAGGAGAAGAAGAAGGGGAGAAGGGAAGGTAGATTGAGAGAGAGAGAGAGGTTGAAGAGATTGAGAGAGATTGCTTTCAGATCTGGCTCTTCCAGGTGGAAGCAGCAGCCAAGTTCCAGAAGAACCTGGGTCCTACCCCCTTTGTCAGCCAGAAGGAGGGGTGCAGAGAGAACTGAGAAGGCAGTCAGAGTGAGAGATCTTTGTTTTTCAGCTTCTGAAGTTTTGGAGCATATTTGCTTTAGCTACTGATTTCCTATTATACTCAGTCTTACCCAATGAAAAGAAGACTATTTAATTGGAAAGTATAGATCTGAACATCTAGTCATATCACATAAGTTCAAGTGCCCAGACCCAGAAAAAATTATATCCTAGAGACTGGAAGAACCTATAGATTTGAAATTATCAACAACTCATAGAAATCACAGAGGATATGGGAGATTCCAGAAGACCAGATATAGGAAAATACCTAAATGTTTAATAAAATGCTGATGGGATTTAATAACATACAGACCAATACTCCAAACATTAAACCCTGACACAATTTGAGAGAAAATATTAAAAGTCTGACTTCTGAGCATGTATAAACTACAAAAATGATCACCCAGAGCCCACATAGTTTCACTAAGTCCTGCTGAACTGGCCCATTCCTTTTCCTTGACAGCAAGGTTGACTAGATGGATCAGGGAAGTACCATAAACTTTGTATATCTTGAGTTCAAAATAGTATTGGACAACTTCTCATGAAGTTCTTATAAACAAATGAGATCTGTGAGCAGGGTGTTAATTCAATTAGGTCTATTCCTAGGTGGTAACTCTCTATGCACAAAGTGTGAATTAATGGATTAAAGTCATCCAGGAGGGAGGTGGAGTAATGGGGCTTATTTAAAATGGTCTTTAGCACCATTCTGGGTATCATGAAAAAGTAGAAACCAGAGGCAGGAACCAGGGGGAAAAAAAGGTGTCAAAATAATGTCAGAGGAGCATTAAAGGAACCGTAGGCGTTTAAACTAGATAAATGAATATTTCAAATGTGTCTGGACATTAAATTATAGACTTTTAGAACTAGATGGAGCCAGCCAGTCTCCTAAAAATTTAACTAATGATAAAATTGGGTTCAGGTGAGTCTACGTAGTAAAATTTATTGAAGGCCTGTTACGTGCAAATGCTGTACTAGATGCTGAGCCTAACAAAACAAGTTTCATCCTGAATCCCAGCCTACCTCTCCCCATTGTCTTCCAATATCTGAGAGGCTGTCACAGGGAAGACTGTTATGAATGTAGTCTCCCCTTCTCCAAAGGGCACAGCTAGGGCTGGGAAGTGGGAACTACAGGAAGGCAAACTGCTGCTCAACACAAGGGAGACTTTTACAGTAACATAGTTGTGTGACACTGGAGGGCCTGCCCTGAAAGGTATCAGTGAGGTCCACGGAGGGATCATTCATCGCTAGTATTTAGCATATCTGAATTGGAAAGGAGATTAGCCAAATAACCTCTCAGGTCTCCATGTGTAATTCCCTGAGTAAATAAATGCACAGCCAATGAGGGAATATTTAGTACAGAGAATTTATATTGAATATAATATGTATCTTCAATTTTATTTCATTTTGATTATTTCTTAGTTTTGGTTATTTATTTGTATCATCAAAGATAACCTAAAGAAACTTTCTAATTTTCATGGTACACACAGCAAAGATAAAACCACTTGGGCAAATTCAGAGAAATGACTCATCACCACCCTGACATGAACACTAGATATTGTCCATGATAGGCAGTTTTCCAACTTAGACAAAATATGACATCTATTTATTCATTCAATAAATATTTCTTGGACACCTATTATGTCCCAGACGCTGTGGTGATTATAGGAAAAATGGTAGAGTGGTGACTAAAACAACCATTGTTCTCATTGTTCTTTATGAGACTGATATTCTAGAGGTGAATATGGACAAATGAACAAGCAGTTGCCATTAATGTCATCCCTACTATACTAGCAGAAAGTACAGGGGCTGAGATAGAACTCTGGAATGTCAGGAGGTGACCTTCAAGACTTTTTGGATCAGGGAAGAATTTCTGGAAGAAATTTATCTGAACTGAGACATGAAGAAGTATTTGGAATAGAAATTAGTTGGGGGAGAAAAGAAAAGGAGGGGCAAGAAGTTTCACAGAGAATGCATTAGATAGTTCCATCTGCATCTTGTTCTTCTTGCTTAGTATTGCTCTTTTGACTCAATTAGTCAGAATTGTCACTTTGAAATGATTAATTTTATGCTTTACCATTTAACAGGAAATACCTTCCTTTTTAGTACCTTACTGGGAACTAATAGAAAATTCCTATATAAACTCCATCAAAACAGTACTCAGGCATCTGAGAGAAGAACAGCATTCTGTGATTTCTTACTTATATGAAGTTAGGTAAGTAATGTTTCCAAAGTCAGAATTCTGTAGTCTATAGGCATGTCATGTGAGCTCCATCTCATTCTCTTACTGCCTTACAGAACAAATTTCCAGCATTTTCTGCGGCGTCCAGATCACAAACAAGATTTTGTATCTCAATGGCAGGCTGATTTCAATGCTCTTCCTGATGACCTGTGGGATGATGAGGAAACAAAGTCTGAACTACACCAAAGAGTAAATGTAAGGAAATCTGCGACCTGCTGCACCAGGGTCTCCACACGAGAATATTGTACTGCAGAACCCTAACTCATTCCCTTTTTCTTCCATGAGGTGTGAGGGTGAGGAGGGAAATGGTTTGAACACTTAATCTGCCAACTTCCCAGAGCAATGGCTCTTCCAAACTTCAGTTGAGACTCATGTTCTCAAAATGATAACATGGTGGACAACACTTCCAGAAAGAGGAGCCAAGTCCAGCAAAGCAAGAGCATTCTTGGCATCTGTTTTGTAGACCCCTAACCCCTTTGTTTGGCATTGTAACTATCTCCATGCCTGGCATTAAGCACATACCTACCTTGAGTGCGGTCATATGGTTGGATGATGTCAGGGAGAAGGGGAATGAGGGAACTTCATGGAAAACCTAAAGGGCTGCCAATATTGAATCGATCCTTTGAGGGAAGGTACCAAATCTTATACATCTTTGTATGTCCAGCAGGCACAGTGCCTGGCCCTTAATAGGCAGATTTTCATAAATTCATAAGTGGAATATATGACCCTGATGTTTTAGAAAAGGACTTCTGAAGTCCAGGAAGCCTGATTTCAATTAGGAAGTTAAAAACATTAAACTTTTTAGAAATATCAATTCAGTCAATAAAGTAGAGAAGCTTCTAATAAAAATAGTCAAGGAAAGACGAAAAACTTCAGGTAGAAACTTGGATAGATCCCATTGTTTTTGACTTTAGTATTTTCATTATAATTAATTACCAAATAGTGTCTAATTGCCTTATTGATATTGTCACTGACCACATAATTATTTTTAAAATGTTTTGTTTCATTTCCCAGTGACAAATGTTGTTATTGCTTTAAATTTTGTCCCTTGCTTCTAATTTTGTTGCATTGTGATCTGAGAATTAGGTATTTAGAGTTTTGACTTATTTAAGTAATTTCAATAATATTTTAAATTTATCTAAATTTTTCAGTTGCCTTAAACATAGAAAATTTTTGTTGATATTCCATGGGTGCTAGAAAATAGCATATAGTCTCTATTTAGAAGGTTCAATAAGTTTAGGCCAAATCAACCTTGTTAATGTCATTAGAATGCTTTTTAGCAGTGGATTCTCAGCAAGAGTATATTGTAGGGAAACTTAAGTAGTTTTCGAAAATCAACCTGCCTTTGCTTCCAGCCCTATGTCCAAACTCAGGTTTAGGATGGGCCCCATATATCACTTTCATTTTTTTTTAAAGATTTTATTTATTTATTTGAGAGAGAGAGAATGAGAGACAGAGAGCATGAGAGGGAGGAGGGTCAGAGGGAGAAGCAGACTCCCTGCCGAGCAGGGAGCCCGATGCGGGACTCGATCCCGGGACTCCAGGATCATGACCTGAGCCGAAGGCAGTCGCTCAACCAACTGAGCCACCCAGGCGCCCCTATCACTTTCATTTTTTAAAGTGTCATAGAAACAATTACCCTTTTGTTACATTTTTATATCTACATAATCTTGCAAAAACTATTGAAATAATTATCCTTTTGTTACATTTTTATACCTACATAATCTTGCAAAAACTAATGGAAGTAAGTTAAAAATCCCTATGATGGTTACATTTCTATCCATTTGCCTTGCTTTATAGATTTTAATAGATTTAGTAGATTGCTTTACAGACTTAATGTAGCAGCAGTAAAGCTAACCTGAACATGTACGTGCTGGCACTGTCTTCCTGCATCCTCAAGACAGCCCTCTGAGGTGGGAACTAGTAATATTCCCATTTTATGGATGACAAAATATGGTGAAGTAAGTGTCAGATCTGGAATCTGACCCCACACCACCACACTCCCCGGCCCATGCCCGGAACCATTCATTAAGCTGCTTTTCTGAAGCAGCGTTATTTGACATGTGAAGAAACGTGTCAAGCTATTTCTTCATGGTCTCCTATACTCTTTAGAGTATAAAATAACCATCTTTGCACCAAAGTATTTCTTTTGTGTTGAATTCTACTGTATCTGATATTAATACTGTGAACCTTGCTTTATTTCTTATTTGTGTTTGTCTTGTATAAGTTTTGACTTTTGACATTTTTTTGTCATTTTGTTTTATGTGAGACTCTAGTAAACACCATATAAATTGAATTTGGGCTTTTGACCCAACAGAAAACCTTTGAAACTTTTGTAAAAGTGTTCATTTTTAAAGATTTTTGTCTGCACAACCTTCACAATTAATAGCCATGAGTTTTTCTTCAATACAGCCCACTCTTCAATACAACCCACTCAGGAATATATAATAATTCCCTAATTCTTGTCAAATGAAATGTGACAACCAGCCATGCCTCTGGGTAAGCCCAGACCCTCTCTATGCTTGGTCAATGTCCTTTTTCTTGTCTTATTTCATTCCACTTCTGAGAAGTTAATGGAGAGGTTCTGCTATTGCATTGTCCCCACTCTGCCATCAGAAATCTGAACCACAGAGATGCTAGTACTTGCCAAGGCCTCACAGTGAGGCAGAAACAAAAAGAAAACTCTTCGGGCGCCTGGGTGGCTCAGTCGTTAAGTGTCTGCCTTCGGCTCAGGTCATGATCCCCGGGGTCCTGGGATTGAGCCCCGCATCAGGCTCCCTGCTCTGCGGGAAGCCTGCTTCTCCCTCTCCCACTCCCCCTGCTTGTGTTCCTGCTCTCACTATCTCTCTCTGTCAAATAAATAAATAAAATCTTTAAAAAAAAAAAAAGAAAACTCTTCTACCTCTCAAAAATGTACAAATGCTTGGTAAGCACAAACCAGTATGCATTGAATATCTGCTAGAGCATTTGTGGAAAGACCATGCAGATATCAAGGTCAGCTCTATAATAATGGTGTTTTGTGCTGATACTTAGCATAGGACTATAAAAATGGCTGTGATATTTTCATTTTTACGTGCAGTTCCCTGAAGGTAACAAATCAAAATGCTAAGAGTCCCATTAATACAATATCACAGAAAAAGAACCCACTGTGGGCACTAGAATGAAACTGCTTGCATTAAGATTCCTGGCTCCACCACACTGAAACCACAGCCAATGACTTAACCTCTCTGGGCATCAATTTTCTCACCAGAATTTACCTCCTGGTTATTGTGGGGATTAGCGAGGTAATCCATGTAAAGCACTTAGCACAATGCCCAACACATAATAATGTTTGATAAATTATTATTTTGAAACCTGTCACATTTTAATTGACTGTATGCATTTCATTAATGGGATATTTTATTAAACAGATATTTTATTGCATGGATAACACGATATTCTTATAAGATTATAATAGTTTTTATTAATCAAGGAATTACTGTATGCTAAATACTATGCTAAGTGCTTTATATACATAAGCTAATATATTCTATATGGCACATCCAAAAGGTAAGTTACAGATAAAGTAACTGAGACCTGAAATAGTAGTTTAGATTACTCAAGAGCACGGCTCATCTCCTGGATCCACGACCTACTTATTGTGTGCCTTCAGGAAGATAACCTTTCTGTGACTTCTCTGCAAAATGAACATTATAATATATTACCTCAGGTTGTTGTGAGGCATTAAATGAGTTGATAGAAGTACAGTGACTTACGTTCTGATACACTGATGCATGTAGAAAGACCTCAGTACATGGTAGCTATTGTTAGTTTTGTTATATAAATGGCAGAGCTGGGATTTTAAAAGATTTTTCTTACTGCTAGCTCTTTAGTACAAAGCTAATTTTTGGACAATCTTATTAAGCTCAGACAGCACTTCTTGGTGAATGACATGTTCCACTCATGATTAGTGAACAAGCCTATGCCCTTGGATTAAATACAGCTGCATATTTCTTCCACCAACAATACGCCATTTCCCCATAAATTCCCTGAAAGGACTTATTTATTTATTTATTTGTTTGTTTATTTAGAGAGCAGATTGGGATGGGCAGAGAAAGAGTAAGCAGGCTCCACACCCAGTGCAGAGCCCAATGAGGGGTTTGATCTCACAACCTGAGATCATGACCTGAGCTGAAATCAAGAGTCCGATGCTTAACTGACTGAGCCACCCAGGCACTCCAGGAGTTTTTCAACTAAACAAATTTTCTGAGAAAGGATTAGAATACTACATAAAACATAGCCATCCATAAATAAAGTGAACTGCAGTGGATTTGTGCTAGACGTGGGCATATGATTTGGTGAGCTGGTCTTATAAAGTAAAGGCCTGGCATAGAGTAGAAGCAAAATAAATATTTATTGAGTGAAGGAATAAAATGCATGAGTGCATTAGGTCTAATTTTCTTTGGAGACATTTTTAAGACAGGCAAAGGATTCTAGTTTTATTACACTGAGGTAATTTGAGCCACAATTGTAAAGTGTAACAGTGATGTTTCTTTCTGCTCAGGATTTACGAGACCGCCTGTGGGACATCTGTGATGCTCGGAAGGAAGAAGCAGAGCAGGAGCGTCAGGATATCATTAACGAGAGCTGGTTGCAGGACTCAATCGGAATAACGATGAACCATTTCTTCTCATTAATGCAGGTAAGAGAAGCCCATCAACAACACAGGCTCTTGCCTCCACAGCTACATCCCGTCCCTCCCTTTACAACTCCTTTGGGAGGATGAGGGGCCTCTTCAGGCTCATTTTACTCACAGCACTCTGCCTGGCCTGAGCTGCAACTTGCTGAGGAATTTAGCTGAACTAAATAATTTTAGCCCGGGCCAAACAAACACTAGAACTGGTAGCATCCTGGGGCGCCTGGGTGGCTCAGTCGCTTAAGCGTCCAATCTTGACCTCAGCTCAGATCTTGATCTCAGGGTTGTGAGTTCAAACCCCATGAAGCTGGGCATAGAGCCTACTTAAAAAAAGCAAAACCGAAAACAATAACAGAAACTGGCAGCTTCCCAAGCAACCACCAACCAGCTTTGTTTCCAGGTGGCTTAGAACTGTGGAGAGGGACAAGATCTCGAGATGCTGTCTTATACTGGTTGTTACCTCATCATCCTCTCACAATGGACACCCAAAGTGGCCAGCAAAAGCCCAGGAAAGCAGCTCTGCCATAAAGCATGGGCTAGGTCAATGTCAGCAGGCATCTGATTCCAGAAAAAGGCTTATGTCAGGATTGGGAAAAAAAACAAAAAAACAAAAAAAACCATTCACCAGAACAACCTCATTAACTTATATTTGCAGCCTGTTAAATAAAAATTGCACTAGACGAGATAAGAAGATAGCGATTGCTCTTATTCCAAGACTATTGTCAACAGTAGGAAAAAGAGCACAGGCCAGGTCTGGATATCCAGCATTGCCAAGAAAAAGAGCTAGAGTTTGAGAGCTGGGGTGTAGTGGGCATCAGAAGCCATCTGTGCTTGCTGATTGGCTTTGCCTGAAGGAAAAATAAACATTCTCCTATCTTCACCTAGTTTTAACACTGGGAGCAAGGTACCCTTGAGGAGCAAGTTAGGCTCCTCCCCTCCCAGAGGAACTGGCAGCTAGAGGTATGATCTTCCTTGATGTTTACTTTTCAAAGGGATGGTGCCCAGATACTTGGGAAAGACAGTTTTGAGTTCTAAAACTGGCAAGAAGCTTTTAAAAAGATTTACATCTCAGGGGTGCCTGGTGGTTCAGTCAGTTAAGTGTCTGCCTTTGGCTCAGGTTGTGATCTCAGGGTCCTGGGATTGAGCCCCATGTTGTCGGGCTCCCTGCTCAGGGGGAGTATGTTTCTCCTTCTCCCTCTGCCCTGCCCATGTTCTCTCTCTCATAAATAAAATCTTTAGGAAAAAAAGATTTACATGTAAATGGACAGAGCAAAGATTTACAATGACAAATTTTGTAAAGTAAATTAGAAAAGGGCAGTCAGGCACCTAGAGTTAGGAAGAAGAGTATCTAAAGTTTAGCCAAGCTGAGGGGAACAGTAAGCTTGTGTTAGCCAAGCTGTGTCTACATGAGTATTTTTTCCTAAGAGCATAGCAGTGAGGGTAGAGAATAGAAAAGGGTACATTTCTAGTCCTCAACCGATTGATTTACATGAGGAGATAATGTGGGAGTGCAGGATATTTAGCTGACAATCCGAGTTAGCGCACGGTAGATGTTCAATAAAGGCTCACTCAACCAACGACCATGAATGCTGATACTTCCAACCTTCAGAGGGACAAACCCGTGGTACAGGGGCAGGTTGGACCACTGGAGGCCTGAAAAGTGAGCAGAAAGCTGAGACCCAAGAGCAGCCTCACTGACTACCAGCTCTGGGATCCAGGTGTGGGTTGTACAAAGGATTAAAGTGAGCAGCCAAGCAGCCTAAGCCACACCGGGTAGCATTCCTGGGGCACTGGTTTGGGCAAAGAGAGATTGACTGTTGGAACAGGTGTGTCAGAAGCTTCTGGCAGAAATAACTGAAATCCAGTAGTGAAGGCAAAGGGAATAGAGAATTTTTGTGAATCATTTCTCATTAGTCCGAGCAGTACATGCCTCTTTGGGGAATGGTAGAACTCTCACATACTAGATGGAAGGCTCTCGTCCTAAAAAGTGAATCCACATCTAAAATCAACAAGGAGGAAAGAAGAGAAAGGACAGGGCAGCAAATAAGAGCTGCTCTTTGTTAATTCCTTACTCCTTCCTCTGTATGTGCCAGGCACTGCTCGAAGGACTTTCATGTATCTTACATTAGACCTTCACAACAACCCTGTGCTGTGACTTCTGTTATAATCCTTCAGCATTGTTCAACTAGTTGAAGGCCCGCCACGTGAAACAGCAAAGAACCTCATTCTGCACTGATCGATAGGACGTTACAAAAACTGAAGATGGAAATTACAGGAAGCGGATTTCAGTTCAATAAATGCAGAAAGAATCCAATGATTAGAACCATCCAACAAATAACAGACTTTTGAAGCAACTGAGCTGCTTATAAGCAGAACGTTTGCACATGTTTATGGAATGGAGGGCTAGGGGAAAGAATCTTTATGAAAGTCTTCAAGGCCTGCAATACTGGGTCACAGACAACTAGATAAGCATTTCCCAAAGTGGGATCCATGGGACACTAGTTTTACACAGTGGTCCACAGAAAAGGACTCAGTGATCAAGTGAAATTGGGAAGTACTGCATACTCTGTGCTTCCCTTTCCCTGGGAGATTGACAAGTATATTAACATATTAGGACATCAAGATGCCCTGCCATTAAGAAACCTTTTTGATATGTTAATCTAGCATTTCTGAAACTATTTGACATTGCAAAGTTTTTGGGTTTTTTTACCCCCAAGAGGGTACTCATTAACAGCTCACAGGACAAGTTTTCTACCCAATAAATTTTAGAAAATACTATGCTTGATGATTTTCTAACGTCCCCTTCAAAACTAGGATTCTGTCTCTAAGCATGACAAGTGAAAACACTTACTGTCACAATGTGAGATTTGTCCATGTAGGAATATCTTAAAACTTAATTTGGTTGCTCTGCAAGAAAAGAAAAATGTTTAGTTTTCCTAATCATTTCAAAATGCTAGTTTGAAAAGTTACTTAAATGTATATTTATGTTTAAAATCCAAATATTTAAAACATGTTTTATAATTTAAAACAATATATGAATGGTCATTTTATTTTATACTATAGATTCAATTTAACCAAGTGAACTTTTTCCTGTTTCAGTCATTTGCCTAGAAAAGTTTAACAATGTACAAGACAGCTTTTCAGGAGCAATGTGGTTTACCCTTTTTTGTATCAAAAACGAACTTATTGAAACTGTTTTTGTCTTCTGTTGTCAACTACAATGCAAAAGCATTTATTTATTCTAGACTGTGAATACGGTAGTACAAGACTATTTCTGGATGTTTTATGAAATAAATAGTAACATTACTTGCCCGATAAATATTGGGATCCCTTCATAAATATCCTTGGGTTAGGGTCAGCGAAGGGCTTTGAACACTAGGTCAGGTTTGTTCTTTTTGGGAAAAAATGCTTTCTATAATTAACTATATATCATGGAATGCTTCTGCAGAAGAGCTTCAGTCTCTAGGCCCTCAGGCACTGGTTTAAGTAGCCCCACTCGCCAAAGCGAAGTCTGGAAGTCATGTTCACACCACCAAAGAGGAGCATGGATGTGCCAACTGATCTGACACCTAATGGGAGAATGGGTTGGCAGACTCATGGTGCATTTGGCACTCACGATGCACACATGTCCTCATTCCTGCAAAGGGGGTAGCCTGGCTGGCAGGGAGTCCCTTGTGAATGACTGATGCTCCACTTATTGCCAGTTCCTCTGTGTCCTCCATTTCCCCCAAGGCACTACTGGCAATGCCAACAGACGGGGTTTGCTGTGAGCATGGAGGAGTGATCTCCCTAGTACGCGTTATTGAGCAAGAGTGGAAACTGTGAAAAGAGAACTGACCATTGCCTTTGCCTTACCTTGTCATTTCTCCACAACTAGGTTAAATAGTCCTAGAGGACCAAAACCTAGTCTTACTTTGTACTTCAGTTTTTTTGTATTTGTATCTGTACCCATATTTGTATTTCGTATTTGTATATATCATATTTTTGGCATCTCCCAAATCGATTAACTTGTTACCTCTGGTAGAAGACATTCACATGTTTGTTAATGTATTAGTTGATTGGATACAGGACACAGGAATTCTTAATGTCCTAATAATGAATAATATGTACTACTTTGGACATCATACTTACTGTAATCTTTTGTCACAAGGTCAAGAGGCATAGAAACTCCACCTTGTTGAGTGGAATCATACTCAATGAGTACAGAAAACACAAAGTCACCAGTTATCTTTCATTGTTATATATGCCTTTAGATATATATATATAAGATATATGCCTTTGGATATATGCCTATAGCCAATTCTTTCTCTTTTTTTTAAGATTTTATTTATTTATTTGACAGAGAGAGACACAGCAAGAGAGGGAACACAAACAGGGGTGGTGGGAGAGGGAGAAGCAGGCTTCCGCAGAGCAGGGAGCCCAATGCGGGGCTCAATCCCAGGACCCTGGGATCACGACCTGATCCGAAGGCAGACACTTAATGACTGAGCCACCCAGGTGCCCCTAGCCAATTCTTTCTTAATTTCCAGAAAATTGATTTCAACTGAAATACTTTAAAATAGTGCTTACAGAACTTATGGGGGAAATTGTAAAGATCAGCTTGTTCTTTCTTGGGTATTAACATTCTTATTTGCTATTAAAGGCAGAACTGAACCGTTTCCAAGATACAAAGAGACTCCTTCAAGATTATTACAGGGGAATGGAAGGCAAAATCCCAGTTGATGACATTAAGAGATTTACTCGAGTCCCATTGGTCCAACTGGATGGTAGAGACATTTTGGAGAGCCAGCTTCGGTAAGAAAGGTTATCATGTTGCACTATAATTGGTTTGAGCATAAAACTTTATGATTTTAAGTTGAATACCTAATAAAAACCAAACTCCTGTATCTGCAAATCCAAAATCCAAAAAAAAGCTCCAAAAAGTGAAAACTTTTCTACGTTCAACTTAAGATGACTGATATGCATTATTATCCAAATGATGATGACTATTTACACACTTGGCTGCAGAGGTATAGTGTGTTTTATTATGAAGAGCTTCCAACAGACTCTGCTGGGGATATTAGGGAATATATAGAGTATATAAATTGTGAATTCTGAAAAACTTTTGGCTCAAGAGTTTTCAGCAAGGAATCATGAATCTCTACCACTTTTATGAAAGGTCCCAAGCACTTGTGTGTGTGTGTGTGACATGTAAATGAAAATGGAAGGAGTTGTGAGTCTTCTTTTATAGGTAAGGAAATTGAAAAACAGTAAAGGTTCAGTCATATGTGATTATGACTTCATGAGGTAAAAGACTTGTCAATAGTCTAACATCAAATTCCCATCAGAGCAAGAAAATAATTAGATTTTCAACCAAACATTTCTGTGCAATACAAAAGTTTGCAAATAATTGCATTTATAGACTCAGTGGTGGGGACAGGGAAAGGGCAAGATCCCAAACCCAGAGAAGCTATGAACAGATAGAAAAATGTCTTTAAGAAATAGGGAGTGGGTGGGGCACCTGGGTGGCTCAGTAAGTTAAGTGTCTGCCTTCGGCTCAGGTTATGGTCCCGGGGTCCTGGAATCTAGCCCCACATTGGGCTCCCTACTCCGCGGGAAGCCTGCTTCTCCCTCTCTACTCCCCCTGCTTGTGTTCCCTCTCTCACTGTGTCTCTCTCTGTCAAATAAATAAATAAAATCTTAAAAAAAAAAAAAGAAATAGGGAGTGGGAGTGGTGGTGATTCCTGTGATGTGGGTGGGTCCCAACTCTAAAACATTAAGAGAGCAAAAAGTAAGAATAAAATAACAAAAAGAAAACTCAAAATCCTTGAAATTAAATGAATTAATTAAAAATAAATTAATAAAACAGCATTAAGAATTAAAGTAATATTTTCTCATGACCAGTAAGGAGGTCATGAGAAAACAAGAATCTACAAATATGAAGAGGGGAAAAAGAAAGAAGCTAGCTTTAAAAAAATAATATGCAAGCTGAACATTAAGTTTAAATCTCCAAAGATATGAAATATGTATTGGAGATTGAAAGCAGTATATGTACTTTATTGGACAAGTGTGCTCAAGTCAATGCAGACAGCACAAATGGCAAGAAGTAAATGTGGTATCGTGAATATGTTTTGAAGACAGATCTGGTTTCAATCTTGGGTGTTATTTGCTAGTTGTATGTGAGTAAATTAGAACAATTTATTTTGGGAGGAAAATCACCCCAACTCTCTTAAGCCTTGGTTTTCTTATCTATAAAGTAGGGTGGTTGTGAAGATTACAGAAAATGAAATCCTCAGAGCACTGAGTACCATGTCTGGGGATCAGAAGACTTGAGATCAAGTCTCAATAACTCTCAATATTACACAACCTTTAATGCATATTATGACAGTAACCTACATGCAGTATTTTCTACTCTTATATATTTTAATTTTTTTTAAATTTAAATTCAATTAATTAACATATAATATGTTATTGCTTTCAGAGGTAGACATCAGTGATTCATCAGTCTTATATAATACCCAGTGGTCATTACATCACGTGCCCTTCTTAATGTCCATCACCCAATTACCCCATCCCTCCACCCCCCTCCCCTCCAGCAACCCTCAGTTTGTTTCCTATGATTAAGAGTCTCTTATGGTTTGTCTCCCTCTCTGGGTTCATCTTGTTTTATTTTTTCCTCTCTTCCCCTATGATCCTCTGTTTCTTAAATTCCACAGTATTTTAATTGTGAGTATTGCATGTACTTGCTTTGCTTTATCCTCCCTATACCAAAAAGGATTTGAGATGACCTGAACACAATAGGATATACATGAGATCCGAGACCCACTTTTTCTCTCTCTAGATTTCCTCTATGTAGTCTCACTGTGTCCCCATAATGCCCATGTGTAAGCAAGAAAACACAAGAAGGAAAGTACCGTCTTCTGGATACAAATACAAGAGAAATGTTTAAGTCAGCAAGCTACTGAAAAAGAACTTTGAAACTGAAAACAATAAAAAATTCCAAAGGCAATATGAACCGTCAGAGCCATTAAAAGAGGCCAAATTTCAATGTCTACAGTAGCAGTGCATTCTGTTCTTAGCACAAAATAGCAAGTCAGGCATATTGGGGAAGCTATTAAAGTTGGTTAGCAGAATGAAACAGGGAAAAGAACAGCCAGTTCTTATTGTCTGCAAAACAACTGGGTACCAATCTCAACCTCAAATCACTGCTATGAGTATCTACCGAAACTCTCAATCAATGTACAACCAACCAACTAATCAGCTACAGTCTCTTTAAAATATATAAGGGAAACAAGCATCCTGTTAAGCATTTCCACATAGCTGTCTACTTTATTCCTGTAAAAACAACAACAACGGCAGCAGCATAATAGTAACTAATAATTGGTTGATAATTGGCAATTACTAAGAATTAGTAATAATAGTAAAAGTAGCAGTTGCATATTTGTATTATTTGAGGAAAGGAGCTTCAGAAAGTCAAGTGACATGCCCCAATGCATATCTATTGATAGTGGCAGAGGTAGCTGGACCAGAAATTTTTCCAGGGAAATGAAGTCTAACCCCAAATTTTATTTCTAAATGATATGCCACCACTCCTCTCCTCCAAAGCAAGGTGTTGGGAATGCATGTTGTACTGTATTAAACATTTAGAGATGATCACACAACCTTTACCTTGTTAGACACATGAATCTCAGTGTCTCAGGGACTGACATTGAGCATTACTTGATTATTAAAATGTAAGTTGTCCTTGTGGGTAGATGTGTATGAAGAACCTCAGCGCATTGTCTTTATAGGCACAGTGCGTTGTCAGAATGCCAAGTCCTGGAAGAATCAGAGCCAAATTCAAGAAACCATGTCTAGTGCTTCAAAACAAGACCAAGCTAACTGTTTGGTGGAGTTCACAATCAGCTTTCTGGGTCACCAATCTGTTCCCCAGCAGCTTGAGTCTGCCAGACCAAATGCTTGATCCTACTACGGCTTCTGACTCTCCTCAAGTTTCAGCAAAGGAATCCTTGGACCTTCTCTCTCCTCATTCCATGCCCAACTGAGGACGCTTTGCCCTTTGGATCACTAAAGTGGATCCAAGTCATAATAAACATTCTGCCCTGGGGCTCTCTTCCCGCTTCTCATAGCATTTGAGATTTGAGAGTCCTTCAGGGATAGAATGTTCCCAGGGGCAGCTCTAAAATTTCTACATAAGGGCAACAATATGGCTGAAAGAAGGGAGAGCGAGAGCTTACCTCTGTGTTCCCATACTTTACAAAGCAAAGAGAAAGCTTCATCATCCATACTCTAAACTGGGGAGGGCTGTTGGATTTCTCCCCCACCCACCACAGGATTCCCCCTTGCAGTCCTCAAATTTGTCATATCTTGCTTTTTCACTGTCCACTTCGGGAAGCCAAATGATGCTAGTCATCTTAAAGGAGTGGTGCCCAGTTTTATTTGATTTGCTTTTTCATGACTGATTTGTTCCTTGTCAGAAGCTGATGCCCTGGATACATTTCAAAATTGCATTTCTTCAAGATTCCCATTGTTTCATTTCCCTCCTCGTAATCAACAAGAATTAAACCTAAAAATTATGTTTTGTTACTATGTGTCTCTAGTTTACTCTTGTTAATAAGACTGTAAAAATTTGAATACAGTCTTTTTTTTTTTTAAGAGAGGGGGTTGGGGGAGGGGCAGAGGGAGAGAGAGAATCTTAATCAAAGCAGGATCCACTCCCAGCATGGAGCCCAACGTGGGGCTCAATCTCATGACCTGGAGATCATGACCTGAGTCAAAATCAAGAATCAGTCACTTAACTGACTGAGCCACCCAGGTGCCCCCAGATACCATCTTTTATAGTCTTTTCTTCATTTGAAGAGTTCTTCCAGGACAACTTTGAAAATTGAGGTTAAAGCAAGATAACAAAATTCCCAAAGTAACATGTCATAAAAATATAATTCTGTTAAATGAAATACTTATATTTCCTTTTTATTTGTTTGTTTTTTTCAAAGAATTCCTCTAATTTCTCGAATATCCATATCCCCGGATTCAGCTATGTCCAAACCAAAAACAAAGGCCATACTGAAGGGCAAGATCGATTACTCACTGGAAACTGTTGAGGCAAACTTTGAGGCAGATGAGAAGTTGCTAATGGACACCTGGCAGCAGGCTTCTTTAGCAATATCTCACATGGTAAGCAGTGCTTGTTACTACATTTTCACTAAGTACCAACATTGGTAATATGCTATGAGTAGAAAATTTACACAATGTTGTATAAATTTATACCTTCAGGAATTTTTTTGTTTTGTTTTGTTTTCTGAAAGAAATAAGAAATGAAACAATTCAGTCAGCAAGTAGATGAGCTTAAGAATGGAGTAAACCAACATGTAGATTATTTTTTGTGCTGGGCCAAGGTTCCAAGTGCAGGGGCCAAAAGGTCCGTCAGGAAAAGTCAATGATGTGGGTCAAGTATAATGCAATAAGGGAGGGATGAGGCTGTGGCCAAGTGGAAATCATACTCCTAAAGAGGTATGTGCTACATCACCCTGACCAAATTTACCATTTAAGAATGAGGCCCAGTATGGCCAGATTTTACAATTTTCCAAGAAAAGCCAGAAATTCAGATTTATATGTGAAACCTACTGATTTTAGCATGTTAGAAATGAAATCAAATTTGTAAAACTTTACAGAGCCAAGAAAAACACGCATCTGGCCTTGTAGGCCTCTAGTTTGCATAAGTCACCTGTGGGGTAAGTACTCTCCTCTTTACCATGGAAAACGAGGATCCAGAAATGTTAAAAATTTTTACCAAGGTCACTTAGCAGGTTAAGTGTCAAAAAGGATATTTGAACCTAGGACTATATGAGTTCAAAGTTCATGTTCTTTTCAGCTTCACTGGGAAGCGAAGGGACGGTGATAGTCTCTGCCTCTAAGGGGCCTGCACCAAATCAAAAGAGAAGGGAAGAGCACACAGATAACTCTAATGTAAGGAGAAACTCCCCCCTGGACAGAAGGTTCACGCAGAGTTTAGCTTGGATGACCACTGTTCCCTCACCTTCCAGTCCTGTGTACCCAAGGTGGTTCTCTGTTCATTCTGTGCCAGGCCTTCTTTGAGTTTCCCCGAAATATCCCATCCAAACAGGAAGCAGTGTCCACCTTCCCAAAGACCTTATGGAAGAGGCAGAAGAGGAGCTTACCGCAGGGTCTTAGAGCGAGGAGGTGACACTTCTGACTGGGTGTTTTCCAAATCCCTTCCTGGCCACTCTGCCTCCAGGGTTCTTTTCTCTGGTTCATCCCACAGCAACCTCAGTGTTCTGTTCTCCCTTTCTGTTCTCCCTCTCTTCCTGTTGCTCTTCCTTCTTTTGTTTCTCCCTCTCAAAAGTGACTGTAGATTTTTTTTTTTAAGATTTTATTTATTTATTTGAGAGAGAGAGAGAAAGCACGTACATAGGGGGAGTGAGAGGGAGAAGTGGACTCCCCACTGAGTGGAGGGCCCAATGCAGAGCTTGATCCCAGGACCCTGAGATCATGACCTGAGCTGAAGACAAACGCTTAACTGACTGAGCCACCCAGGCGCCCCTCTCAAAAGTGTTTGTAGATGCCTTTCATTGTCTTGCTTCTACTATAAAAAATGTTAGTGTGAATTTTGACACATCTAAGAAAAGTGCATGAAGTATAACTGCAGGGCTCGATGAACACACCTAAAGTTACTGCCGAAACCAGCACACGGGAGAAATGGGAAAGGTCCGGAACCTACCAAGTCCTTGCCCCTTCCCAGTCCCAACCCCTGCATCCCTACAACACGGACCTTCCGCCTGCCTTTTGACTAACCATTGCCTTGATATTCATAAGTTTTATCACCCAAGTCTATAGCTCTAAACAGTATAGTTAACTTTGCTTGCTTTCGAACTTTAAATACATGGACTCATACCTTTTGTTTCTTTGTGTTTTCTTTTGCTCAACATTACATATGAGATTCATTATATGTTGAGTGGAGCTGTAATCTGTCCCTTTTTGTTGTTGTATATTGTTTCATTATGTAAATCTATCACAGTTTATTGAACTAGTCTGCTACTAATACACATTTGGGCTTCCAGTTTGTGCCATTATGGATACCCTCGCTGTGAACATTCTTGTACTTGTCCATGGCTGCACTTCTGCACACACAGCCATTGGATATATGGCTAAGAGTGGTAGCTATCTTCAATGTCAGTTGATGATACTATACATAATACTTCAGTTTGCATAAGTAATACCAGATTCTTCCCCCATTCACTGCAGTATCATCTTTGTCATAAAGTAGGTGACCACATATCATAAATTCTGTTGCATTCCTCTATTTTTCCATCTTGTACCAAAACTGCATAATGTCATATCACTTATTTGTTATCTAGCTGAGCAAATCTTCCCATCTTGTCATCTGTCCAGAGCATTTTGGCTCTTGGCTCTTTGCCTTTCCATATAAATTTTCAAATCAGCTTGTCAAAATTTACAAAAGTGTTGGCCATAGACTTTTTTTAGATGATATTTATCAGAATATGGAAGTTTCTTTTCATTTCTAGCTTACCATGAGGGTTTTTCATTAATATATTAACAAATGTTTTTCTGCATCTATTGAGATTGTCATATAATTTTTTTTCTGTTTTCTATCAATGTGAAATATCATATTGGTCCATTTTCTAATATTAAACTTACATCACATCCCTGAAATAAGTCCAATATTATAATTAAACATCATCCTTCTTACATATTGCTGGCTTTGTTTTGCTAATAATTTGCTTAGGCTTTTTGAATCTCTGTTCATGAGTGAGAAAATCCTAAAATTTGTTTTTCTCATACTGTCCTTGTCAACTTTTAACATCCACGTAATACTAGACTCATAAATCAAGTCAGGATATGTTTCTTCTCTTTCTATTTAGAAGAGTTTGAGGAAGTTGGAATTATTTCCTCTTGAAATGTTTAGTAGCATTCACCAAGAAGCCATCTGGGCCTGGTGAACTAAACCTTTTCTTACTAGGAGGTAGTCTTCTTTATTTATAATGTTTTTTTGGAAATGATACTTTTGAATATTGTTTACATGTTATATCCTTGTTCATCCTCTTATTTTTTAGCCTTTCTATATCTTTTCTTGCTTGCTTTCTCCCCCCCTACTTACTTTTAGAAGTAGTGCATTCTATTACTGTTCTCTTAGTGGTTACCGTAGGAATTACACCATAAATTGTGAACCTATCAAAGTCTAAATATTATTTAGTCAGTAATTCATGTGTTATTCCTAGAGTAACCACTAAGTGAATTAGTGTGTGTTACTTCCAAACTAATATAGGGAAAATGAATAAATTTAAAATATTAAGTCCAAAATAAGAAAAGAGGACAGAACAAGATTTAGGACAAACAATATAAGTCGAAAGCACATAATAAGACAGTAGATGTATACCCCAAAAATACTGATAGCTACTTTATAAGGGCAAAATGATCCAGATAAAGAAAAGGGATTGATTTATTTTGTTAAAAAAGCATATGATGCCTATAAGAACACAGAAATGATCTTCTGTTATTGACCAGAGAGGAGAATAAGGTAGTGTGATGACCTCCAGTAGCCACCGTGGAATCCTAAACCCTTGGCCCAGAGGCTCAGTGCTCCCCATCGTGCTGGTACCAACTCATCAAACCTTCTCATAAAGCAACTAGATATTGCTTCCTACATATTCCCTCGGCATTAACAATTTCCATGCCTCGGCTAATGTCATCTTTCTCTCCTAAAATACATTCCTCCTACCTTCTATTTGATTAAACTATATACTTCATATAAGTCTTCAGAGCCAGTTCCTGCTTTGATTCCTGACTACTTGGTGACCTGCTTGAAGCCCTTGCCTTCTCTGATCATGTGCTCTTCCAATCCCTGCAGCAGTATTATCTCCCCAAGCATCCTAGGTGATTGTAATGTTTATCTCATTCTTTTCCTAAACATTTCACTGGATTCTAAGACTTTTTATACACCCTACACCTAGCATCACGCCCACATCTAATATGATGCTAAGCGCTCAGCACAGTCTGACGTGGGACTGCTGCCCGACCAATGATGCTGATGTTACTACTGATGATGATGGCAATGACCATGGTGATCACTGAAAGATTACAACTACCAAGCACCAGAGAGTGGGAAACCAGAGCTAGGAGTTTGGGGGGGGAGAGAAGGGAATTATTATTCTTATTGAGCTACATAAAGTAATTTGCAAGTTTTACAAATCCCATTAGAATTGCCTAGGGGAGATGACATTGTAGAATATTACATTATTAGAAAGAGCAGCGTACAGCACAAAGAGCACTGGCTACCCCTCTTGGTTAAATTGTGTGATTTTATGGAAATGACTTAGCCTCTTCCAGTCTTCAATTCCTTATCTGTAACATGGGAGACATTCCACATACCTTTCCTCTAGTGAACGGTTGAAAGATCCAGTGAAATAATGTATACCAAAGAAATTATAATAGATAATGTAATATATATAATATTATATATAGTTATATATAATATATAATATAATAGATAATGGAAATTGTAACTATAATAGATGATGACATTAAAAAAATTTATTCACAATTGTACTATTTTCCTTGTGGAATTTAAAAACCACATAGAGAGTCACCTGGGTGGCTCAGTCGGTTAAGCATCTGCCTTCGTCTCGGGTCATGATCCCAGGATCCTGGGATCCAGCCCCATATCCAGCCCCTGCTCAGCGGGGAGCCTGCTTCTCCCTCTCTCCCTTGCTTGTTCTCTCTCTCTCTCTCAAATAAATAAATAAAATCTTTAAAAAATAAAATAACATAGGAAGCAAGGGAGAAAAGTTAAGTACTAATCTAATTAGTATTCCTAATAATTATATTTGAGTCCTGCTTTTATGTCTCCAATAGACTTTTATGACCTTGATGTCACATGACCTTAAGGGAATTTTAAGTTTCCAGTGAGACAGACATGCTTGGGCAAACCATTGCAGGGAAAAACAGTGCAAGCGGGGATTAGAGCAACTGAAAGGAGAGTGCTTTAACATGGGTTTTTTTCTACACAGCAGTCTCACCAACAGCTACCCGTTTAGTGTGTGATGTTAATTTTTAGAAAAACTTTCCTCTAATTAGCAGGTATGCAATGATTTCAAAGAAACAAGTCATAGTTAACGCCCACAATGTCAAGACATTATTTCTAGAGTTTCTTCAGGCTTACAGGTAGATCGCTCAATGTATTGCGAATAATGTTAATTTTTGAAAGAGACACAGAGGTCTCTGAGGGAAGTGGACCAAAAATATGCAGAAGATGATTATCATCATCACCACCACCACCACCACCACCACTACCACAAAGTTGTTTATAAAGGAGAAAAATCCAATTTTAAAGGAAATTGCTAACTTACAGTGCTTTGCAAAAACAGATTCAAAAGTGAATTGCTTGCAATTTAGGCGGGGTGGGGGGGGATGTTAACAAGTCTGTTTTCAGCTTTACCAAGAATTTTAAAGTACAGTAGATAGCATGAAATCCATTTTTATGGCTTAAGGGCATCTGATTAAAACCACATACATACGCTCACACAAAACTGGCTTGTTCTCTGAAACCTTTTCTGTATTTCTCCAAAGTTCCACTGATCTTAAAGAAACTGTGGGTATGTTCCATGGAATATGATTATTTTAAAAGAAATTCCATCTATTAATAATCATTTCCTGGTTCCATAGTTCCATAGTCCCCTGTGAGCATAGAAGGTGCTAAAAGCCGCTCGAAGCCCATTTGGAGGGTGGAACACTAAACATTCATAGAACAGTCAGGGACAGTTACATGCTGAGCCCCGGGGTATGAAGTTTGCAAGAATTTGGGGAGAGCAGGAATTGGCTGGTGTATCCCACCAAGACTAAGCATCTTTCAGGGGAGAGCTTGTGCCTTATTCATCTTTCTGTTCACCTCCATCCAACTTCCTCTTTCTCCTCTGAGCCCCTCACCCAGTCCTCCCCAGAAATAACGTCAGGCTTGGACACAGTAAGCACTTCAATAAATGAATTCTCATGACCCCCATTTCTTTACCAGTTGCTTTATTGAGATTTTAAGGGATTCGACCAGATGTTGCTCCTCCCTCCTCAGGGTGTGCAGGTTTTCTTTCTCCCTTTTGGGAGTCTTTTCTAAGCTCTCATTTCTTGGGGCTACACCCCTAAGTGCTCTTCACCTTTCCTGGGACAGTTGGACTTATTTTGGAAGGTCTGGCCTTTGAAACTGCAGGCATGGCCCCAGTGGCACGAGAACTCAAGACAAGGTTTCCCTGCTGCCTGAAGCACAGAGTCCTGGAGGAGGGATGGAGGGGTCCCAACCACACCCCACCCTCCCGACTCCTCAGCTATGATGGGGTGGCCCCGCAACTCCTCTCTCACACCAGGACATTCCATTTGTGCGAGTGAAAGGAGGGGGTTGATGAGATGGCGGGAAGCTACAAGTCCCCTGAGTAGAGGAAGCTGACAAGATGAGCTTAGTCCGTGGGACAGGTCATCCTCATGAACACTGCACCTTCTGGGATGATGTCTAGTGTTAGAGGAGAATGGAAGCCCAAAATCCAAGTGTCCATGAGCCCAAATAATACAGGGCATGCATTCCCAAAACTTGGTTGGGGGACATGAGAAATTCTTACCCATTTTATGTATAAAACACAGTTATAGGTAAAATACATAGATACACTTTTGCAGTATTAAAATTTCATGGAGCAGACTATTAGAAAAACTGTCTTTAAAACTCTGTAGGGGATGTCAATAATAATAATGATGATGATGATGATAAAAGGTGAGAAACATTGGTATAGGGGAATGCCCTGGAAGAATAGTGGGTGTTAAGTCCATAGAATCTGAGATTTAAAAGAAAGCTTTTAAAAAGCATCCTCATGGAGCTGCTGCAGTGTGGAGGTGGCAATGAGCAAATGTAAGGCTGCATTGCATGCAGGGCTGGAGAAAGTGAGCAACCTACATACAGAAGGGGAAGCCACTTCTTGAGGCCCGGGCCAGGTTTTCAAGTCAGTAAAACATTGAAGTATGTTTTCTGTAAAGACTGAGTACATGGCATGGTTGTTTACAGGAGAATGAGGCTTCAGTTGATCTGGGTGATGACTAAATCCACATAGCTATCATATTTCATAAGTGTCGCGTTCATCGAAATCTTGCTCGTATCCAACCAGGTTGCTGCTGAAATTCATCAGAGGCTCATGGACGAAGAGAAGGAAAACCTGCCAGCAGACACAAAAGAGAAATCTCCTCAGATGGGTACAAATAAAAAAGTCGTAAAGGAACCACCCAAGAAGAAAAAGGCAGACAAAAAAGCAAAAGGTATTCATGGTTTTGGCATCCAAAACTGTGGATGCTTCAACTCTCCTTGGTAGAGAACACAAACATCTAAGCAGGCACGTTAAAGCTACTGTTGGTTTGGTTTTGTTCCAAGACCCAGGCTCCGGTGGCGTTAGTGGACTAATCATACTGGGTACCAGTCTCACCTAACTTGTTTATCCAAACGTATCCAAGGTAAAATAAACCTCAACAACAGTTTGGAACATGCTAGAAGAACTCCCAATAGCACTATGTAATCTGAAAATTGTGCACATAGGGGCCGCAGTAACTGAGAGGAGGTTGGATGAAAAGCGATTATAAGTATGTAAGTTTCAGGTTGAATTCAGGTTTCTGGTTTAATTCAAGCAAATTCCTCTCTCCTGGAGGCCTCCTGCCTAACCTCTGCCTCAGAGACATGAGGGGAAAGCAAGGGCGAGAGAAGACTCAGGCTGGGAGAGACCTCCTTTTAGCCTTGGGGATAAACTCTGGCATAAACATTATCCCCCCCCCTTTGAATGTCTCCACTTGTACATATTTAAGGTGAGTTGAGGCAAGAGAGGAAGAGACAGAAGTCACCTCACTAGTCAGTTGCTCACGACACGTTTGTTAGGCACCTGCTAGAAGGACACCATGATGGGTGCGAGGGACACAATGATGAACTTCAAGAACCAGAACAAAAACACAGTCCCTGCCCTGATGGGAACTCTAGCCTAGCAGCAGAGACTGATGTTTGACCCATCCTTGTTCTTTAGTGGGGGAGGTGCAGGCAACCTTGAGAGCGAGGTCACCTCAGTCCTTCTGAGAGGTAAGGAAACACCTCCCAGCTGGAGTACATTTAAGCAACCCTGAGCAGGAGTAAGAGGGGAAGCTAAGGATGTGGGCAAGTGGGTGGTGATGGGTGGCACTCGAATCAAAGAGAAGAATAGCACCACAAGAAAAAACACACCACTTAGTCCATCTCAGATGGTAAAAATGAAAGAAATAAGCAGCATTTGAAGGACATACTTCAATCTACTTTTAATGGATAAATGGTTGAGTCCATTCCCTTAATTTTACAGATGATAAAACAGAAATCCAACGAGACTAAGCTCCCTTTCAGCTGTAATTCATACATCCACCTACTATTGCAATTACATTTTATTACAGTTTCTTTATTTACAATTATGTCTTCTTCACATGACTTGAACGCCTGCGGTCAGACCTTCAAGACGGCTTTATTGCACTAAGTAGAATTACGTGAACAGAGCCTGCAGTTAGAATCACACTGCCATTTCTCAAGGGTAGATTGTCAGAAAAATGCTGACAAATTCTTATTTTCTAAATCTCTTATGGTAATCATTGAAGTACTTGCAGTTAAGTACTACTGAAAAGATTCAGTAGATTGCAGATTCTTGACCCTGAGCCACATTTCAGCCATATCTTCTGGATGTTGGTCCCCTGCTCTTTTCTTCATGAGGATGTGGGATACACTTGGCTAACACTAGGACCTCTGATGGAACAGTTCTTCTGCAGCTGGCTAATGGCATCCGTGGTGTGTTGCAGTTTGCTAATTCCCGTCCCCAAACTCTGCATTGCACCTTCCTTGGAGTCTATAACCAGGTCTGCCCTCGCTGCACACCTCATTTTCCCCTGATGCTACACAAAAGGGGCATTTTTGTATGTGTATAGCCTAGATAACACATGGAGAATTCTTAAGGAAAGATCCATATTTCCCACTCACAGTCAGGACTCAGGTTGGTCCTTTCCAAATCGCAAGAGTTTTGCTATAGACCCGCATGTTTCGCTTGGTCCTCATTTTGTCCAAGGAGCTGTGTGTCCCCTTGCATGCCCACTCGCTCCTCCCCGAGTTCCACTGTGCTTCCAGGCAAATCACCGCCAATGGCAGAGGCTGCGCCTGTGACAGGGACAGCAGAGGAGATTGCCCAAATGGAAAAGAGAAAAGAACTGATGCTCAGAATCAAGGAAGAACACCTTGCTGCCCTGCAATTTGAAGGTAGCATTTGGGAAGAACTGAGATGATTCTTTTCAGTGGAAAACAGTCCAGTAGGCAAACAGCCTGTGACTGCCTCAAGTTGTGTCTAGGAGAACACAAAGCAAAATGATTGAAAAGTACAGCATTTAGTTGGTTGTTTTCATAGGACCACATGAGGGCTAGATTCAGCTGTTCTATAACTGTCTGCCGGGATCTCAAAAAGAGACAAAGAAAATTTGGGAAGGGATTAGGAGAACACCAGCAATAATTAATCTCAGAGAATAGACACAGAAAGAATATGTTAGAGTCTGTGTGATTTTTACAAGTTGAAAGAAGGCTTAAGGCCGTGTACGTAGGTGGTTTTATATGTTAAGAATAATTTAGGCCTCTCATTAGGAAAATAAATCCTAACTGAGGTTAACAGGCCCTGAAAGTGAGTTCTTGGGAACAGAGACCATAGAAGAGGCAGTCATGGATCGATAATGCTCAAGAGCCTCCTTTTCTATAGGTAGCAATGGTTTTATAAGATATATTCTCCTGGCCCTTCCACTTGTCTTATAATGCAACTCAAAATGGACTTTGAAAAAAAATTGGGAAAATGAACAAATTAGGCCAGTGGAATAAGCAAAGAAGAAACATGGAAAAACTATTTCAGAAGTAAAATCCACAGACCTTAGAGTGTGCCATGGGCAGCAATAGGCCCTGGGATACAGAGGATTTACCCTAGTTTTACCAGTGCTAAGAAAATACAATGGCATTGCCATCCCGAGATTCTAAAGTAGGGAGATCATCAAGAGACTTTGTACCTTCCCCTTTTTATTTATTTGTGTTTTCCCACTCCAATTTATCAAAGAATATATTACTATAAAGTGCAGTAAATGTAAAGCTCAGTTTATAATACTTTTGGCTTACATAAATTGCCAAATGACCCTACCATGCATTACACTTTTTTTTTCTCAGTAACATAGATCAGGTATTACCTATACTCGTAAATTAAATGTCCACCTACATCTTCACAAACTGAAGCATGATTGGTTTAAAATTGAATTCAGTAGGTTAGAAAATGCATGTATATATAATCCTTAATTTTCTTCTTAAATAGAGATAGCCACACAGTTCCGGCTTGAACTGATAAAGACAAAAGCATTGGCTTTTCTTGAAGATTTCTTAACAAAGGTGGTCGATGTATATAAACTCTTGGAAAAGTGGCTTGGTGAGAGGTACTTGAATGAAATGGCCAGGTAATGTACAGCATGGCTTTTCCAAAATGTATTTTTTAATTCCTGGTGGCCAAAATTGGCAGATTTTTAGGCATTTACAAATAGAAATTTTGACCTTTTAGGGAATCACAAATGCATTTGTATGGGTTCTTCTCAAACAATAAGTCATGTATCAAACTGTCCTGTTGCAATGTCCAGTTTTGCATATCATTTCTGAGTTTGGTTTTTACCCTGCTCAATGAGGACCTTAGTTTACAAGGTATGATTATAGGTAATTTTTAAATATTTTTCAGAAGATAATGTTTCATATCTTTCTAATGCCAGACTTTTTAGTCAGGGCTGATTAATGAGAGACTGAGAAGTCAGTCACTGCAATGTTTTACCAGTGAGGCTGATTCCCTTGTAAGGGTAATACCCAGTTCGACTTTGCTCTTGGGTTCCAAAGGTTTTTCAGACTTCTCATCTCTAGTGAGGGGCAGAAAGTCTCATTCTCTTAATTCTCCCCTAAAAAGCAGCTCAGCAAAGCAGAAATAGCCTTCAAGTGAGAGTCAGGAGCCATGATGTTCCAAGAGATGGGGATTCCCTCATTGTGCACAAATGAGCAGCCTGCCTAATCACTTGGGGGCCCCCATGGGCTTCATCTAAAAAAGGAAACAAGGCAACCAGGCTACTTCAGAGGATTCTACTAGATCTAGATTCTGTGAACACTACAGTTTGGAATAAACATTTACTGAAAATTTAGAAGTTGCTACCTACATAGAATACAAATGGCGGGTATTCTCAGAAACAACTGCTATCGGAAAGATAGTTGTTATGGTTTGTTTTCTATAATCCTTGTCTCATAATGAAAGTTCTGTTGTAAAATCTTCAGCCTAGTTTTTTTAATACCTGTTGTGCTATATAATAACACACACACACACACACACACACACACCCCTCAGCCTGGTAACCTTCCTGCAGTAAGGCTTAACATAATTTTACTGCTGGATAGCAAAGTCTGTTACTCATTACCATCATAGAGCAGTGATGTTCAGTTCTGTTCTCGGCCTGCCCCTTACAAATGAAAACGTATCTTCTTAATTCATAGAATTCACAGCTCCCATCCATGTGGCCATCAAGGGTAAATGCTTCTTATTTTTATCAGATGTACCCCAATTTCTCAGATTTATATTATGTGTATATATCTGACCCCTGAATAACTTTAACAAGAAGTTAAAACTAGGATTGTTCAGCTATGCTTTCTGTTTTAGTTATTGTAAAAGCTCTCTGGTGATAAAAGGAAAATATAGAGAGAGCTATCAGATCCCTTGGAACTTCAAATCTTGCTTTTCATTCCCCTGGCATTTTTTTAATCTCTTTCATTCCTGAGAAGGGTAGGCCTGGTAACCTCCACTAGGTGGAGCACACCCATTTTGAGATCCTGGTTATGGCTCAGTCTTGGTCTGCAGTGGGAGGCCATCCTCACTCAAGGCTGCAAACTTAGTTGCTCTCCAGTGCCTTCTCCTCTGCGCCCAGCACACACACACCAGGAGGCATAAACTAATTAGATAATACACGCTTTGTGGGCACTCACCAGTACAGCATGCTGGAGTTGAATTCTAGGGTTGTCTTTTCAAAGAAAGCAACTAATCCTATTTTTAAAATTTTTCAGTATATATTTTATATTATGTTGCTGGGTTACATAAAAGCAGATTAAAAATGGATTTTTCCATCATGTACAATCTTTATTGCAAACTGTAAACACAATCCTTCCTGTAATACAGTAATATTGCATTTATTTGTGTATAAAACTTCTCTGGCTTTTGAAGTGGCCTTTAATTAGAGCCATAGCTATAATCCCCAGTATAGGTTAAATCCATGCCCTGTGTGATTTCACATTAATAATCAAAAGGTATGGTGTAATGTGTCACTGGCTCCATGCAAAGATAAGGAAATTCAGGGAGCTTAAATAAGTTCCCAAGGACCCACGGCTATGGAGTGTTCTGGAATGAGAGCTCAGCTTCCAGTGTTCTTTCCACTGCACCTATTACTGCTTATACTACATGATTTAACTAGGAATTATTATTTGTAAAAATAGAAAGCAATTTCAATGGGTTTATATTATTAGAGTCCATTCTGACAATTGTGTCTTAAATAACATCAAACTCCTTGATCTAAATTTAGAGAAAAGCCACTCTTCTAGAAATCCATAATCATATTTGATCAACTTAACAATTTTTCCTGATTCCAAATAAATGTGTCATTCTAACAGTTGTATTTTACAGATTTTTCTGCCATATAACTTTCTTCCGGTGCATACTTAGAATGAAATGTATCTCTTGACACAATCTTTTTTTTTTAATTTAATTTAATTTTATTATGTTAGTCACCATACAGTACATCATTAGGTTTTGATGTAGTGTTCCATGATTCATTGTTTTCACATAACACCCAGTGCTCCATGCAATACGTGCCCTCCTTAACACCCATCACCGGGCTAACCCATCCCCCACACCCCTCCCCTCTAAAACCCTGTTTGTTTCTCAGTCATCTTACTTACACAGTAAAATATGTTCTAATATTAATAAAACCATCTTTGAAGTCCCTTTTTGTTCAGCTTCATATAAAGATGTGACCATGAGCTCTATAATGAGCATATATCTTATTTCCAATCTACACTTATTTATTTATACTCTGCCTTTTCACAAAGTGGGTTTGAAGAGAATTGGAAATTGTAAACATGCAGATTGAATTGTCTACCTTAGTTGTACAATGTATAGACTCTGTGTAGTAAGCAAACACTGTTAACCCAGTAGTATTTAGTGGAGATAACCTTATTCGTTTTTCCATTTTCAGTGTGGAAAAATTAACCGAGGTGGCTCGCTATCACATTGAAACATCTACAAAAATTCAGAATGAACTTTATTTAAGCCAAGAAGATTTCTTCAGTAATGGCGATATGAAAGTCTTTCCAGACCCCCCTCCCCCAGTACGCCCCCCACCTGTAGAAAAGGAAGAAAATGGCACCCTGACCATTGAACAGCTTGATAGTCTTCGAGATCAGTTCTTAGATACCGCACCTAAAGGTAAGAAAAATAATCATGGTGAAAAAGCACAAAAAAGGTTAAGACTAATCAGGGTAGCAGTCACTTACTCATGAGTAAAATCAGCCCCCTGGGACTGCGGGTCACCAAAACAAGCCCTCACTCTATTCCAGTTTATCACACTTTTGCTTCATACAACATAGATCTGAATGAAACAAACAGGAGGAAAACAGTGACTAATCCTTCGGCAGTGTGGTGATCCTCGTTCCTGGTAACTCTCCTCTTCGGCCTGTCCCTGCCCCTGGTCAGAAAGTTGGTAAACTTGAGTCTGACTCTGTCTGGCATTTGAGAGAGACAGCCTCCACACACACGTCCAGTCTAAGGTTTGAATTGAGATGATGAGTTTGTGTTTCTGTCTCCCCCACTAGTCTGCGGAGGGAGACCAGGGAGTAGAGAATTTCCCTTCAGTGCTTCACAGACTAAGAATAGAACCAGAGAATCTGTCAACAAAATATTTGCTTAACTGATGAATGTGTTCACATGTATGTGTACATCATATTTTATGCACATGAATTCTTTACTTCCTTCACATGTTATCATTATGGCTCTGTAGCATGTGCACAGGCTTTTTTTTTTTTTTTTTAATTCAGTCTCTTTCTACTTCCAGATATTCTTCAATGAATTCCATCAATTGATAGCACAAGTAATTCAGACAGGTCATGTAGGACTATCATCTCATCTCCATTTTATTGGTCTGGACTCTGTCACAGAGCAGTTTTTACTATGGTCATAGGTCATCCAGGTCTCTTCAGATTCAAGGCTTTTGCCCCTTCTCACTGAATTAAGTCACCTCTCATAATCAGGTTTATTTTATCTTCCAACTGACTTTAGTCTAGCACTAACACAATTCCACTTTCATAGTGATTATATTCATTTGTTTTTTAAAAGTCAAATATTTCTCAAAACCCCCATCAAATCTCATTAGTCAAAAGGGCATTCTTTTACTCTGAGTCTGAACTCCTCTTTGCTAAGCCCAGCGGATGAAACAGGTGTAACCATGGGCCCCTGGGTGACCCCCTACCCTGGCACATGTCAGCTCATCTAATTAGCATGAGTGGTCTCCATCTCCAGTACCTGACAGCTATAGATGGACACCAACTCTGGTTGGCAGTATTTGGGCAGGAAGGAAACGCGGCCATCAGCAGGTACAAAAAAATGGCAGTTTTATAAAGCCTGCCTGTGAAATCCCTTCCATCTGGCAGTCAGGCAAATTTCAATTCCATTCTCTGCCCCATTGTGTGGGTTTCACAAGACCCTCTTATTACATATTTCCTTCTCGAGAGTTGCTTTTGCTCTTCGTTTTATCCACCCTATTTTTTACATATAAAACAAAAAGATACATGAATAAAGATTCTGAATATGAAATATGCTTTGATTTAATTCTACACTAGGGTGATGGGAAGGAAATCATCCAATTAGCAGGTCAAAATTAAAAGCATTTGGGGGCATTTGAGTAGGTGGAAGTGGATTTTGAAAATTATCAAGCACTCATAATCCCTTTGAAAAGGGACTTTTGTATTCATGATGATAACCATAATACGTTCTTGGATCCAAACCAGAGCCTGCATTTCAACTAAAAGTTTTGTTTTTTTTTTAAGATTTTATTTATTTATTTGAGAGAGAGAATGAGACAGAGAGAGAGCACGAGATGGGGGAGGGTCAGAGGGAGAAGCAGGCTCCCCACCGAGCAGGGAGCCCGATGTGGGACTCGATCCCGGGACTCCAGGATTATGACCTGAGCTGAAGGCAGTTGCTCAACCAACTGAGCCACCCAGGCGCCCCTCAACTAAAAGTTTAAAAACAACAAATAGCAGCTGTAAGTTGGCATGCGTATGTCTTAGAAGATTAACTCTAGAAACCCTTGGGACTAAAATATGTCAACTGATACATTTATCTGTTTTCTGAATATGGTAGAATGAATGCAACAGCTCTCAAAGTATGGTAGAAAGAGGAAGGAAAGGGGGGAAAGGGGAAGGAGGGAGGGGCAAGGAGGGAGGTAATTGTATATTTTTTTAAAAAGTAGATGTGAAAGGAAAACCACTTGCCTGGTGGACTTAGAGTGTAATTTGAAAAGACAAGCAAGGAAGAAGAAAATATAAACTTCTATTTAGGTTCTTTCTGGACCAGAGTATGAACTTTCTAAAAGTGCTCAGGAATGCAGAGCAAAAGAGGATCAGTGAGCAATGAGGTCAGTCAAGGAGTTTGGTGGGATAGTATCTCAGAGGAAGTATTTGGAAGAAGAGAGATTTGATGGCAGGGATACAGGGGATATTTCAAATTGGAGAACAGCCACTGGCCAAGGTGCAGATAAGAGACATGGGTGTGGACGTTCAGGGAAAGGTCGGGAGACAGCTTTGATTCTCCTTCCCCAACTGCACGAACTGCAGGCAAACACATGGGGAGGCCTTCTCTGTCTGAGGAACCACCACCATCCACCCAAGCTGGAGAATTAACTCAGATTCAAGAATAACCATGGTAATTACTGCACAATTTATAAGGCTATACAAAACTGTGGGATTTGGGGGTCTTAATGGTTCAAAATGACTTCTGGTCTATGAGCAACCAGTTTAAATTCTTTATTATTAGCTCAAATATGCTATTTGAATACACACACACACATGTGCATGCACACACACACACACACACATATATATATGTTGCTTTTTAAGTACATGTAAAACCTTAGCACAGTATCAGGTAGTCTATCAATAAAAGTAATGTTCATTGTTATTATTCTTGCCAATGTTATAAAAGGAAGGCAAAATAATGATCATTCCATTTTCTGCATCCCAGAGTCACAGTTCCATGATGACTTCTTTGAAGTCAGGCTGCAAATGTTGACATTGCGTCTCCCTGAGGAAGTCCAGAAATTACCACTCACTCTTTCTCCCTGACTCCCTTAGCCCCGCAAAGATCCTCTGACTTTAGTCTTTCTTCCTCAGCTCCATGATTGTTGTTCCCTGCCTTAAATGATACACAGCCATCCATCTTTTAAGTGAAGTCTTTTGTCATATTCTTCCCAAGAATTGGAAAATAATCTTTTATGGTACCTTCCACTGTATTTATCTTAGAACTGTAGAATTTTAAAAGACAACCTTAGTTGAAGTGATCAGTTTTGAAAGTATGGAGCAACTGGCTGAAAGTGGCACTTTCTAAATGTGTGATCCTACAGAACTTCTTCCTTGAACTTGAAAATTGCTGTTATTTTTAAGCCAAGAAATATGAGCATTACGGTAAACTATTTCATATATCCCAGTGTAACCTATGGTATCTAAGATGCAATTTTCATGCTTGCTAAAATATGGTAAACTATGATAAACAGATGGATTTTTCTCTAGGAAAGAAGCATACATGTTTGCACATGGTCATATGACTAGGTCCACAGGAAGATGTTTTTAGCAAATTTATAAGGAATGATAATATCATGAAGTTCTTTGGTAACTTTTAATTATGCTACATAAATAAAATTATTGAGTGAAATGGATTATCTTTAAGTAAACCTAGTGACTTTAAATACTTGTGAGTAACTAGTATCAGGATGTAAACAGATAAAACTAAAGCTTAAGGAGTTTTCTGCTGAATATTAGCTACCCCGCTTTAAAAATAAAAGTCTACATTAAAATAGTTCTTACTAAAGATAATGGAAAATTGAAAATGCATTATATACCATAATGCTTATATTCAACACTCCTCTCCTGGTCAAAACCTGCCACTTGTAATGATTCTAAATCTCCTTTGGTAAAGGTAGTCATGAGAAATAAAATACCGTTTGTTGATATGGTCATTGCAAATATGCCAGAAAAGAAAAATGACCTTATGCATGATGATCATACAAGATCATGCAAAATGCAATGAAACAATTTATCACGCTAGTATTTTTCTTGCCACCCAGCAAAGATCCATACTTGAGAATCTTAGGAGCAGCCAGTAAATCAGCAAGACATTCTTTCATTGACTGTCCCAGGAATCATTCCCATGACAGTACTCCCAGCACAGAGGGAGATTTAGAGAACATCTTCTGAATTATAACAATAGCCAATATTGGCATGGTGTCTGGCTCCATATGTCAGGCCCCATGCTAGCATTTCCATGTTGATTGACTTCTTACTCATGGCTGGCTGAGTAAGAAGACCCAGCCATGGGTAAGAAGGAATCAGACAGTTCTTTTCAAATCCACCTTTCATCAAATGATTGTAGTATGATCTTGGGAAAGTTACTTAGCCTCTCTCTGTCTCAATTTTCTCATCTGGACAATGGGGTATTTCAATGGAGTTGCTATGAGTATTAAAGTAATTAATTTATGTGAAGTGTTTAGGAAGTGTCTGGCACATAGAATGTGCAATCTAGTGTAATATAAGCCATTGTCATTTAATTATATAATTGTAGTAATATCATATTATATAATATGTAACATTATACAATAGTAATACAAACTATTCCAATTATTACCCAAAATGTTAGCTCGGTATGCTGAAGGTCACATACCACAACAGGCATCTACAGCATTACCCTGGAACATTTCTGGAAAAAAAAAAATTATACCACCTGATAGAATTAAACCATAAGGTATGTGGCTCCCCAAGGAACCAAAAACAGTCCAAACAAAAACACTTATTTTGTGTAGTGCATTAAGCTCTTGGTAGGAACATCTTGTCTCTAAACATCAAGTGCCAAGCACATCAGGAAGACAGACTTTTTCCAGTGGAAGCAATTTGGAGTCTGTTGAAACTAGAACACTTTAGCAATGTTCCTCAGTCCCCACTTAAACCAAAAGAACTCCTTTTCTTTGTAAACCCATCAGTATTCCATGTAATGCCTGTAGAGATTTGGTTCATGGCTATTTTGGCTTCAGCTGAGAGGCTATCCAGAGAGAACAGAGTCCAGCAAATTCTGCATCCTCACTCCTTCTTCAAGAGAGGCAGCATTTAGTTGTTCAAGGCTATGAAATTGTTCTAAAAACTCACAAGAGGCCCCTCCTCTGA